TCTAATTTTATAGATTGAATTGGAAATCAAAGATCTATAAATGACACCTTGAGGCACTTATTGCCAATTTATATTGCTAATTACAAACTATAAATCATTACATAAAGGTGATATTTAGGTGACCAAGAAATATCATACAATACTGTTTCATAAAATAGTGATTTCAATGCTTAAATTATCCAACAGAATATTCCATTTTATTTGATATTAACTTTAAGTAAGTTTTCATATCGTCAACTATAAATATTATTAATAAATAACATTTCGAAAAATTGATTGAAGTAAAAAAAAAAAAAAAGATAAAACATAATGCATATTTCAAATACTTTACAAGTATGTCAAAGTATATAAAACAATACACGTTTAAATATTACTCATTGTGAAGCAAACACAAGTATAATTATGTTGCATAGCTGAGTTGAATATGCAATTATTTTTAATCCCTCCTTTAATAGATTTTGAAGTTTAACTAATTTAATTAATCATTTCTAGTAATCCTTAATTCTACGAAAAACTGATAAAGATATTATCTTTTTCTGTTCACCCCCAAAATGGGACGATCATAAAAATGAACTTTAGATAGTTAATCAATTGTGTGACCTTTAAATTAATAAATTATTGATATGTTTAAAGGTGTTTCGCAGATAACTGATGAAAGAATTATAAAATAACTGATAATCCTATACAATAGAAGAGTCCAGGTAAATATGTTCACCTGTTACACTCTAAAATATAAACTCATATATCAACTAATTTTATGATAAACTCAAAACAGTCATACATACACTTTTGTAATTACTGCTTAAATAAATTAGATAGAACATGACAAATGTGGTGAATTCTATCAGTTAAATAATAAGTTGTTTATCTAACGTGACTTTCGAAAAGTTACAACCATCAAACAAGAATCTATTAGTGTAGTACGTGTTTCTAAATTTTATTATTATAGAAATAACCTTAAAGTATTATTTATTTCTTATTTTTTCCACCTCTATAATGACTTGTTTTAGTGATACAACAATCTTTAGCCAATATCGTTAATAGTATTTTTATGTCTTAATATCTATATAAATCATTGTTATGTATATTTTTCCATCAACGTTATAATGTATTTTATTCCAAGTTTTATAACTAATAAAATGTTTCTCCTTTTTTTTATTATCATGCGCTACTTGCCATTGTATTTCTCAGCCTCTTAAATAAGCCTGTAAACTGTGGCCTCTTGTCAAGCATTCGTAGAAGATGAAGATAATTGTAATTTTACCACGTTTGATATGCATCGGTTTAATTCAACCAATCCTGAAGGAATTTATGGAAATAATAAAGTTCAAGTAGTAAGTGACGTGTATCCGTAAAAGTTAATGGAAGTACTCATTTAGTTGTGTCTTAAAGTATGATTATCAGCTCAAGTCAAATAATGCTGGTGATGCAGGATGAAGCAACTTGCCTGATTGTCCGATGTAATTATTACGCTAGACGGAATGTCCCGAATTAGGGGCGAGTCATACGAGGAAAAAATAACCATACACAGATGTTATAAAAGAGAAGAAATAAAAATTAAATATAAGATGTTATTATGTTTCACAGCACAATTATCACTGCTCTCAATCTTTCACATATTAACCCCTATTTTTCGCCATTATTTACACTTTAATTGTAACTATGAGTACACTCATTTACATTTACAGTATCTATTTTCTTTAAGTTTTATCCATCAGTGGAATCAGATAGTCTATGTTTATAGTTTATTTTTAAAAACATGATAAATAAAATTGTTTCTAATTTTATGTAATTGATAAATAGCACTGATTATTTTTTTTTACTTTAGATATATCTACGATGACGTGAATGTATTTATATAATTCCACTTGTTGGAGGAAATTTATTATTTTATTAAGACAAATCCAGTGTTAAGTAAATCTCGAGTAATAAGAACACGAAATAGTGAAGAGAAATCTTTTTGGAGACAAATGAATTTGTTATTTAAATAACAAAAGTAATCAATAGTACGAACATTAAGCTGATGTTTCAATAAAAAAAACGTTTAAGTTTTAATAAAATCATTTATGTACATTTTCGTAGATTAATCTTTTATTTATTAAAAACTAAATTGAACTTTTGAATATTTTATGTACAGCTATTAATGGTAGTAGGTAATTAAAAATAATTACCATATTCATCACATTATAAAGAACCGATGAAACATACACGTGGTAATACGATGATGCATCATTAAAATTATGTCACTGATTGTAAAAATGGGTCATAAAACCGCAACAGTAGTAACATTTATTTTTTTTCATTTTGCTTACAATTTATATATATATCTACAGTGCGTTTAAAAAAGTGTGTGACACGTAGTTACATGCTGAGATTGAGTTTTTAATTGAGAGCATTTATATATGTAAATTATGAATATACCTTTTTATATTAACTTCAACTCTAAGATCAATTTTCTCACGATATTTTTCAAGACTTATGACATGTCATATTAAGTAATATCTTGTTTTTTTTTGTTCAATGTAATTTTTACGAGACATATTAACGACAATGTAAGAAAATTAGCTTTTTTTGTTTGTGAATAATAATAGATAATTTTCTTCTTAGAGGAATACTGAGTCCAGTCTTTATGGATAATCGTCGGAAACATCAATTCTTGTTAAAGCGTAGGAGATTTACAAGTATATGTACGTATAGGTAGTATCTACTTTTTATATGTTTCTTAATAGTATCATGAATTGTTTTATTTCTCACTGTTTAACGTAGACTTGATAATAACATCAAATGACTTCCACCAAATAGATAACATGACTTATTACATCCTTTTATTTTACTAAACAATTATTTGATCATTATGAGCTAAGAAAAAAACAATGATTATATAAAACTTTAATTTTGCAATAAAAAATTTTTTTCAAACATTGTTTGTTTTCTTTTTCAATGTTTACTATTTAATTAACTACAAAATTATTGGATAATTAATTTTTTATAAATAGCCCATTGTCGAGGTTTTTCCAACTAAAATTTATTTGATCTATAATTGAATTCTTTATAGCTTTTGCTAGAATTAAAGTGATCAATAGATCAACAGATCATTTTTTTTGTCGATGTTTCCAGAATTTATTATAAATGGCTTGTTTTATATTACCGTTTTTATAGATATATTTCTTTTTTTTCATACATAATTTATTCCGCTCCAATCTAAAATCTGCAATAAGATGTGATAAATATTTTTTTTTTAAGACTTTTTTATGAAAACAAGTTTTACATTTGAATTGACATAATAAAAAAAATATCTTTAATTATTCAATAGTGATTCTTGTTAAAAATCTTCCAAAATATTAAATTCTTTTGTTAAAATAGAATTTGAACCCGTAAGAATACCATTTTACAGAAAACGTATAACAACGTTTATAATTTTGAAAAAAAAAACTCAAAGTTTTATTAAATATTCCATCATACTTGAAAACAGTCTGATCCAAGTCCAAGCTTCAGGATATTTTGAATAAAACTAATTTCGCAAGAGGGTTGTGTGATTATTTATGAAGGTATCTGTCGGATTATCTGTTAAATAGGCAGCCAGTAGTTATAAGGCGATAGTTCATCAATCATGATAGTCTTGAAGGCCGAGATTGCTACTCACAGTGACCGGTTAGGTTTGCGATTGGACATGGAAAAAGATTGCATCCGGTCGCCCACGCGGCGATTCCTCTCCTCAACTCTTATTCTTACAGCGTCCTTTTAACATCGTTCTCTTCGCAGCTTTTTATCTAGCTCGTAGTAGACGACGTTGTTCCAGCTCAATTCCATTCATGTGCGACCCACTTGAATTTCATTCAACTGCGTCCCTGACGCCTTTCTCTTATTTCTCACTTCAATTTTCTCTCGCATTTATTATCATAATACATTATCTCAATTAATCTACCATTAGAGCTTTTCCCATAAACAAAAAAAATTCCTAATGAATCTCTCATATTTAAAAGACTAATTCACTTGCACTCATTTTTGAAATTATTTTCTATTAAATATTGCTTTCATATTAATCTGTACGTGTTTTCAATACGTTATTATGTTTACAGCTATCAGGAATAAGCTATTGATAAGAATACAAATAACCTATATTAAGTGAATGCACGGTTCGATATATGCTAATTTCTATGCATATCTTTCAATAAAAAAAAACGAAAAAAAACCATGTCTCGTTTTTCCTGTATCATACATCAAAAAGATAAAATGTCATTCTACTGATAAAAATGACAGTTCAATTTGTGCCCATTGGTCCATTGTTTACCTTCATCGTTTCCTTCACATCACCAAATACGTGAAAAATTTGTCATTTATAAAACTGTTGAAAAATGATGGTAAGATTACTTTCAAATGTTCAATTATATTAATAATTGCTCTTCAACTTAGTGAGAATAAATTATCTAAAAATCAGACAGTCAACATTATTGGAACAAGTCGTTGAATACTTTATGAGATAAATTTTGTCAAATTCCATTCTATATAAAAGTTATTTTGAAAATATTTTTTATCTTAAAATAATATAATTTCTACACAAAACAACAAGACAATTTTTTGAGTTTAGATTTAGATGTAAAAAAAAGATCAATCTGAATAAAACAAAAAAGGGTGAGTAACTTTATCATACAACCTTAAAGGGCAAGAAAACATACGTACACATGTGATATTCATATATACGTATGTGAACGTACACATGTGTATAAATCTGAAGAATAAGAAAAAGAAGGTGAAGACGAAGCAGAAAAAGATGTGGAAAAAGAAAAAGTAGAAGGACGAGGAGAACCAAGAATAGCCCACAGGGCTCAATGACCTCGTCACGTGAGTCAAAGTCCATGGTAATATATATATGTATCCATATTTTCTTTTTCTAAATATTGTAAAGTCTATTTTCCTATGGCTGTTTAATTGGTCCCAATTCAAATTTATAAAGGTTACTTAATAAGAAAAACTTACTTATACTATTTCAAAGTACTTACGAATCGTCCACGGTAATCTAAAGGTGATGACTGAACCGGCACTTCTGGTGCTGTAATACTCCGTTTAAAGGGTTTATTACCCTTTGTAGTGTTCATTGTAGTCCTCATTATTCTTTCAAACACTTTATTTAATTTTTAGACAAGTTTGTAATTCTTTCATAGCATGTTTAACTATTGTCGTATAAAATTAAAACTTAAACTTGGTAATATTGTTCACGTTACTTCACAAAAAACAAACATAGCTCAAGTGTCTGGTTAAACTGTTGTTGATAATGTTGATACTTGCAAGTAAATATGATGATCAAGTATCTGATAATTTTATAGATATAATACAACAACTTAATAATAAACACGGAGGAATTATATTAGTATAGAGAAGTCGTCGATCGTGTAGCGTTGCAAACAGTGTACTAAAGGAGTGAGATGGGTTGTCTTAAGAATTGTTGAGACGCCAAGTTCTGACTCCACTACTCTTGATGTTGAATGCTGGTAAAGCAATCAAATAGAAAGCGATAGTAACCAGACATTAGAAGTCTACACGTACACTGATATAGAATAGTATAAAGTGAATAGAATATTTGAGAAAAACAGTAAAGACTTACCTGACTGATGTTTATAAACATTCATGACACTTTAATTCTCAGCTACTTTTTCTCTACTTGTCTTCAGGTGTCAGCAAAAAATGATCGCTTGAATACGTGATTCACTGAGTTATAATTTCAAATTTGACGAGGTAGTTTAAATAAACGTTTAAAAGCCAGTGGAGACAGGTTGAAATTACTATTTTTAAATTAAATTTTTCATAAATAAGTCTTTGAAATGGACGTAATATAAAATTGAAATTATATTTTATAACGTATAATGAAAGAAAGTTGATATTCCTTAATTATTATAAAATCATCTATTTACTTTTCAAAAGTAATCCAGATAGAAATTAAAACATGGAATACAATTTTGTTTCGAATATTAATCTTAATAAATTACACTCATTATTATTATATTTTTTCTTCTTTTACTTTTTCATAATTAAATAATACGATTTTCTTCTGGAAAATTTCTGATAGTAGTGGAAAAGTTAAGATGTAATGAATAACATATTACACGTATTAATATAACTATACAGAAATAAATCTAAATGTTTTGAAATTTGATTAAATTTACTTGTAATTATTCTAACAGTTGAACTAAGATTAAATACAATGAAAACATCAGATTGTTTTTGAAGCATCCTTCCATCGTTGTTCTAATATTATAAAAATGAAATTAATCGTTAACATAAACAGTAAATCTTTTTGTCCATAGCTGAAAATGATAAGATTTTCATCTCATATTTCGTAATTATTGAAATAATTTCTTGGAAATTTTCAAAGAGAACTAAATGCTATTCTATTTATTAATTCATATTCTATTGAAATAAAAGTTTTGCAATAAATGTGGTCTAAACATTATATGTTATTATTTTGAAGATATTTCCTTAAAGTTTGTACTGTATAAGATATTGAAATTTAATAAATATATAAAACGAAATACTCACAATAATTTCATGGTGAAAAGTGTTATTATTATCAAGTTAATTCCAAAGAATTATACATCAATGTAATTGAATAATCAACTACAATATTTTCTTAATTATAATTATCCATTAAAATGTACAGAAAAATATAAATAAAGTAGTACCGTGTCTACATTCAATAAGAACACATACACAGATAGGCTGCCGTCACTAATTTCTAAACATTTAATTAATCTACAAGGCGATGGTAATGTTTTAATTTACATGAATAGTTTTATCAATAAGTAATTTATAGAAGTTATAAAGGACATTGATTTCAGTCGTTTTTTTACAGAATAATCAAAATGAGAACATTTAGAAGAAAAATTTCAATACTTCAAATGTATTACTTTATTTTTTACACAAGTTTAAGTATTTATTTATTCTTCAATTATAATTATCATAATAAGAGAAATGAATTATTATAATGATAATGAAACAAAAATAATTTCTCACAAATCTATATTATTTTGATATTAAATTGTTAATTTATAAACTTGGTATAATTTTATTATGTTCAGTGTACAACGGTAATTTTTGTTTTTTATTTATATACAATAGAAGTTTCATTCAAATGCATGACATATTTAGTTGCATCTATACAATTAATTACGCATTACTCATTGTTCATGTTCCTATTTACACGATATATAATAAAGAAAAAAAGAGAATATTTTTTATTTTTATTTATTCAAATTCGAAATAAAATTATAATTACTTATGCAATTGTCGATGAATGATAATAATTGGAAATTTTTTTACTGTATAGAATTTTTTCTATGTGACGAGAGGATGGCAGTGTTGATATGGAGAAGAGAAATTGTTTACTTTTTATTTTGCTTTTTACCTCGAAAAATCTGGGAACAATATTTACAAATAATTTTACTTCGTGACTATAAATTATTGTTTTGCATCTTCTTCTTTTTACTTTTTTTTTAATCATTAAAACTTTTATTTCTTTCTCTTCTACACTAGATACTTCTTTAAATCATTGACAATCTCTGAAATGTTTCCTTTTTTTATATTTTTTCTTTTGTATTATTTTCAATAACGGTTAGACATCATAATATTAAGGCCTCTTAGTTACTAATTACAGGTCATCATTCTATTATATTAAAGCTAAATCACTGCTAAATTTTAAATATCAAGAAAGCGACATTATTTTCTTTTTTATTTTAATTATAAATACGTTGCCACTCGACGATGAACAATAATTTTTATTATTTTGATCATAAATGTTTTCATTAATTAACTAAATGCATATTTTTGCGAATAGATATCAATGTGACAAAAATTTTTAGGAATTTTCAGGATGATGGGAATATTTAAATGAATATAATAATAATAATAATGATAATTTAACTCACATAACAAAATATTTCATTGAAACATTCCATTTTATCAGAATATTTATTGTTTGGTGCGTCTGGTATTTTTTTTCTTTTTTTATGAACAAGGCTACTTTTTCAACTACACGATTTATTTATATTTATTTTTTTATCCTTTCATTTTTTGTTTATTAATCTAAAATAGATGTACCTTATTAATGTACATCAATCATTTTTTTCAATTTTACGTATTCATATTTCTCTCTATTTTCTATACTGATGTTATTAATTTTGCAAAATTCGATCACGACAAAATACGTAATTATTCTTATAATTTCATTTTAATTATTTAAGAAATGAGATCTAATGTAAAATGCTAAAATTCGATTTCAATTTCGTAATATACAATGAATTAATTGATTCGTTAATTAATTAACTGTGATCGATTAATTATTGGACAACATTACACGTCAATCAAATGCCCAACTAATTAGCTACAGTGAGCTATCTTGAATTAGTATATACAAATACAATATTTTTTTTTCATTTCGAAATTTTCATTCATATTATTTTTTCAATGTATCATTTACTCTTAGTAAAAATTTTCACAGTCATATCTATGAAGCAATGTCACTTATCTTGAGTATCGTCTCACGAATGTGACAATTTATCATTGTATATTTTATAATCAAACGGCAGCATTCGCTGGCTAATTGGCAGGACGATACGTCATATTACAGACGCCTAATCAATAATGCTTTTCCTCCTTGTCATTTTTTATACTGGCTGTATAAGAAATATTTACAATCGTACATACGATATTTATTTTTTATTTGTTACATGTATTTCAGGAATTATTCAATCAATCCTCAACATTACTTTCTATTTATCTACCTTATATTAAATAACGCATTGAAATACCTAAATGTTTGCCATTTTATTTATTAAACATATTTTCAAACGAGAAAAAAAATTTTATTACAAAAATCTGTCAGCTTATCACTACATGTCTCTTTACTTTATTTTTCAAATAATAAATAATAAGCTTTTTATTAATATCTTATTATTTTTTATTTATTATCAATCTCAGAGACAGCCAAACAGCTTGATTTTTTTCTCGTTGGCAAACACCAAAAGAGTTTTTCAGTTGATCGTTAGCCGTAAGTTAACCCTCTGAAGAGAGCATCATCAAATACTAAAACATTAAAAATTTCTTTCTTCCCATTCATTGAAATCACTAATTTATTCGGACCTTTGTTGTAGTAGTATGAAAAAACATAGAGAATATACTAAAAACTAAGAATTCAAGTATCTCTATGTGGTTTTTCTCCCTTTTTTTGTCTTTAGGTATGTGTAAAAAATTCTCTATACAGAATTATTTCTTTGCTTTTTTTTCTTCACATTTTTGTTGATTAAAAAATTAGTTAATCAGTGCAATCATTATCTACATGAAAATTTAGGCCCAAGAATCTCATGATACTTAGTGTCAATCAATTGAGTTTTACTTATTACTAAAATCACACTCAGAATTAATAATGCAGAGTATCTTGTTTCCGCTCACAATATGGAGAGAATATTATTCTGATACTCAATATTTACAATACATTAAGATCTTTTCATATACTTACAAGATTCCGTACCCAAACATTTTGCATTTTCTTTACTTTAAATTATTATGTTTCAATTGCTTTAGGAATTGCACGTTCCTAGATTTTTAAGATTTTGGAAGCATATTCGATAATAAATACGTTTAATTTCAATAAGTGAAATCCATTTTAAATGTCTACTTAACAAAAGAAAATCATTTTGACACAACTACGTAAATTATTTAAACAAATAAATGAATATTTATAAATGTTCTTTAAAAAAATGTTGTTTCTCCTCCCTTTTTTATGATTTCGTATTTTATTGCCAGCCGTAATCATAACGCGCGCACGCATTGATTATTAATTAATATTGATTATTAATAATTATAATGATAAGATTAATAATTACGATAATAATAAAAAAAAAATATTAATAATTATTATTAGTCGCAATTGCTAATAAACGAGGAATGAATGAAAATAATGACAAAAAAAAAGATTAATCGTTAGAAACTGGCCTTCCTCGTCTGCAATAACAGCGACAAGTGCTGAAAATTATCTACTATTTAACCGATTGCCGGTTAAAAATTTAGCTACCTTCCTCTTACAGTCTTGTATACTTGTGTCTTGAATATCTTTATTTTTCTATTTTACAAATTTATCAATTTTGTATTGTATATGAACTAATTGTTTCGTCAAATCAAGCTACAAGTACTCGGCAGTCTATTGTCTCTCTTAGCTCTCTTCATTTATCAACAATGAAGGTATTCAGAAAATTTATTGCAGCTTTTGTCTTCTTGTTTATACTCTTAGATGTTCTTCAAGTCATTTACACATTTTGTGTTGTTTCTCGTTGATTTATCAATAAATAATTTATAATAATTTATGAGACTTTATTGTAAATGACATTACTTCACTCCCATTGATGTGGTGATGGTGGTAACTCCGATGGATGAGCCACAGTAGAACTGAAAATAAAAAATAAATATATAAATATTAGAAATATAATTATTAATTAATCTGAAGAAAGCCATAGCAACTAGAAAGCTTGGAATTCTTCAAAAAAAAAAAAATTATTTACTTGTTAAAACAGTAGATTTCTGTATGTGTATTTTTTAAGCATAAGTACTACATAATTTGGAGAAATGAATCGTTCGTATACGACTAGTATTAAGGAACAATAAAAGACAGGTTTTCTACACAATTTGAATCTATGTTTTTGAATAATACTCGAAGAATAATGATTGGAAAATGTTGAGAAAATTATTTACAAATATTCAATTTCTTATTAGCTAAAAAATAAAATTGTTAATTGCTGTTGATTTACTGTCTTTGATTTTTCCTCAAGATACAGATCAGATAATTTTTTAAACAGCTGTCAGGTTTATTTTATTAACTTGATCAATTTCATGAACATCAACTAAATGTTAATTAATTTATTTTTATATTCAACCTGAATGCTGTATGGATGAGGCTTTTATTTAAAGGAATAATTTACATTGACAATTCGATCAGGTTATGTCATATTTTATATTCAAATCATCTCATAATGACCCATAGGTTTTAATAATGAGAAAAATTTGTTATTTAATGATAAAAAAAACCGAAAGCGACGAGTATGCTTATATATAAATAATCTAATATAATCTCTCTATTTATACATTTTTCTTTTATCTTAAATACTCTTCAACATTTAAATCCATTTAATCTCCTTATTTGATACTTTTTTAAATAATTTAATGAATTTAACTTAGACTTTTTTATTTATATAATGAATTTTTAGCCTTGATTTTTTGCTTCACCATCACCCTTACACGCGTCATTTAACCCTGAAAATATACCTAAAAGGCAAACTCGTCGCATTCGTCATCAATTTATCTATCTTATATTAATTATTGATTTTATTAAATATTTAATTACTATTAATATTTAAAAAAAGTTACTAGAACTCTTTGAATTTTATAAATTTTTTTTTCAAAAGAATTTCAAGATTTCAATATATGTACATATCAAGTGTCTACCGGCTCGAATCGCCTTTGCAGCGGAAAGGATGTGTGGATATGTATGTGTCATTGTAATGTTTAAAGAGAGAAAAACAAATAAAATAAAAATGTGAGAAAAATTAAGTCAGAGTTTTTAATCCATCAACGGTTGTGCTATTTGGCTTCCTTACTTAAATATTAAAATCATATTTTAAAATCAATTAAATTATAAAAAATATTTATTAACCTTTTATTCCATATTTTAAACTGCCCAAATTTTATTCATCATTGTTAGCAATAAGATCACTTTAAATGATTCTGTAAAATAAAAGATTTTAATATTGCACAAAAAATTTTGTATTAATTAAAATCAAAATTTAGTAATAAACATTTCCCTGCTTAAAATGATTGTATCGAATGTTCTGCTAAATTTTCTGTGAAAAAGGGTTGGAAATTTAGCGCGTCCGCTGACAGATTAAGATGAAGCTACCATAAATTATCTAATTAAAGAAATGAAAAAATGATCAATTAAAAAAAATTATTTGAAACAAGAAATAAATAATTAAAAATGATTCATAATAGAAGTGTGCAAAAACATATGATGAGTTATGAAGATGTTCATGACAAAAACAAAGACATTGAAACGTATAAGGTAAAGTTTAAGGTGAGTACCTCTGCGAGCGAGGTTGTACCAATTATAGCTGATTTTCTCGAATTATTCGTTACGTTCAGGAAGAGACGTAAGTGGTAGTAGACGATAGCGGTAGCCGACAGCGGTAGATAGCTCATTCGGGTGGTAGTTATTGTGTACGTATACGCGGCGCACGTAGTTGCTGGCTTGGCGGTTGTCTTGCTCTAACTTGAAACGGTAACAGTAAAGCAAGATGACAACAATTATCGAAATCAATTAAATTATTTAGGGTTAAATGATATAATATTTCTCAATTCACATTTGCTTTTGATTATTCTCATTTTTTTAAATTCAGTTTATCTCTTTTATCAATTTATTTCTTATTTTTTTTCTCACATACTTAATTTAATTTTAATTTTAATTTTAAATAGAAAAATAAGATGATGAACATTAGAAAACAAACATTGTCTTCTTGAATTTTTCTATTTTTTTCTTTGCAATAATAATTGAATTTCAATCTTGTCATTAAGCTAATAAAAAAATAGGATAATTAACGTAAAAAATAATTACCTTGCAAAGCTTTTAAACGCCGCAGATTGAGGATTAATGCACAAAGGCACGCGAGATGTATTTAATTGCTCTGCTATAAATTTATGCATTTCTTCTGTAATACAAAAACAGTGATAATTAGTAAACGGTTATACAAAGAAGAGTGAACAATTGAAATAATTGAGTAAACTTCACCAACCTTTCACCTGCTGAACACTTGTCAGTTTTCGTTCCCATAAATCGTCCAAAGGATGAGACGTTACTGGTTCAAATTCTGAAGTATATTGTCTCATCCCTCCACTTGTGGTATAACAGCACGTGCACATGCACGAATGATATCTCAATCTTCCTTCGTCAAGATAAGGATGAGCCAGGGCATCAACAACAGTAATTCTCTTGTCCTAGAAATGTTAAAGATAAATTTAGCTATAGAAGCTTAAATGGTTCAATAATTAAGATATTGAAATGCTTACAGGATCGAAAACAAGCATCTGACATAGTAAATGAACAGCTTCGTGAGTTGCTTGATTACTTAAAGTGTATAGAGCTGTCAAAGATGAGGGTTTTGGAGCACGACTTAGCATGTGAGTCCTTGCACCCTCACACGCATATCGCATATCTTCTAAGGTTGGCGTTCCCAGTAATTCAGTAATTAATTCAAGCTAAACAAATTTAATTTTTTTTTATTAACATTAATGAGTAATTACCATAGTTTATTCAACACCATTTTTATTTCAAAAACATAAAAAAAAAGAAAGTTCGACCATAAACTACAATTTTTTTGTAAATGTCAAAAACAATAAAACACAAAATTTTTTTATTTATTGTTCAAACTTTTTTTAAATAAAATACTCATTAAAGTAAAAGTATATTTACTTATATAATTATAACTCATTTAATAGATCTTTATAACAATTGTCATCAAAGGAAAGTTACTCCAAAATAATTGAAATCTGGGTTACACTTGTTAATACTTAAAAATTAAAATTGAATTTTTATTTTGAAAACTTAAATCTAGTAGACTAATAAATAAAAAAAAAGCAATATGATTAAGCTTACTTGTTGAACGGGACTTTGAGCTTGGAAAAGAATTCTACGACGCAGAAGTTCTCCAAAAATGCACCCAACACTCCAGACATCAACTGCAGCTGTGTAATGACGAGCACCCATGAGAATTTCTGGAGCTCGGTAATACTGCGTCACCACCTCCTGGGTCATGTGTTTGCTTTGGTCGGGTTCCTCAACTCTTGCCAAACCAAAGTCGCATATTTTTAGCACACAGTTACTGTTTACCAGTAGATTACCCGGCTTAATGTCTCTGTGTAAGATTCTTGCTGAATGTAAGTACTTAAGTCCTGCAATTAAATCAACAATTGTGATCAGTTAATTTTTGTTTATCAATAATTCTTCCATTTTAACTAAAATTTAGTCAAACTTAGAACAACATATCATCCAAATATTTTATTATTTGATATGGGTGTACTTAAAATAAAATAAAAAACAGGTCATAAATGAAAATGTTAATTGAAGATGTCAAGCAATGAAAAAAATTTGTATAAAAATAGATTTGTGTCTTTTTTTTAAATGTCAAGAAGTGCTTTATTTAAGCTTAATAGGTTATATTATTCAATGGTCACAAATTGAAATGTTAACTAATTTCTAAAAAATAAAAGCAAAATTGGTGAAATGTAAAATAATGTGACTTATCTTTACTTTGATAAAAATGTTCTATTTATAAAAAAGTTAAAAGGGATAATTTTGAATTTTGACCAATTTGCAGTAATCTAAAATTAAATCTAAGATTAAAATGGAAAATTATAATTGGATTTTTTTCTCGAACTTTAGATCGTGAATTTTAATTGACTTTTTTTCATAGAATATTGATAATGATAATATTCATCTGTCGATCTGTTCTTGATAAAAATTAATTTCTTTACCTCTTAAAATCTGATAGAGGAATACTTTGATGTGATCTGAGCTCAAATGTTGCGGGCTGACGATAATCTTATGAAGATCACTTTGGAGTAGTTCTGTTATCACATATCTATTGACGATTTATTAAGGAAAAATTCAAGTGAATGTGCCTGACAATATCAAGTATAAATTGTAAACTTAATATTTAAAATTTTGCCTTTTTACTGAAAAAATAAAAGCAATCACATAAATTGATGCATTAATTTTTTAAAATGATCAATATAAATCATGGTAAAGTCAGCAAAAAATAGAAAACATTTCTGGAAAGCAATTCTAAACTAAGAACCAAGTTCCTGTAATTGTTTAAACTGAAACTATGTAATAATGTTCAACTTTAGTATACTGCAGGTTCATCCAACCGACCAGCTAAACAGTAAACAGCGGTCGAGCGACTTCTATATTTTCCCTTTCTCTCGCTTATACATTTTTAGTGTTGTGTATCTGGGTCTTCTAATTCAAGGTTTTAAGCGGATAATTCTCAAATCCTGAGGATGTCTGAAGACATAAAAGAAAGGAAAGATAAAATGAAATGAAAAAAATTACGTTGTAGAAAAGAGCAATACTATCGTCATAATATAACAGCACACGCGTAAGCGCGTGAACGAGAATCTCGAATTTTCCCACAATATACAGGACGGATCGATACTCGAGGTGGCTACGCTCTGACGAATACCGAGATAAATTCCTTTGCTTCTAGTTCAATAATATTATTATTAATATTAATTTTTATTAAAAAATTTGTCGAAAATTATAATTGTTATCATAAATAAATAATCACATAAATATGAACATGAATACAAAATGTTTCAATAATTTTTGAAATATATTTTTTTGATAAAAAAGAAAAAGGATACATCTCCTGGAAGAAATCTAGATGTGGTGGTTGTAAAATATCCAGTGCTGACAATACCTAAGAATAAAAAAATAAAGTTTATTCTGAGGTTTGAAATTTAGCTATTAATTCTTTTGAAATTAAACACAATAAATTTCTACTCACATTTTCATGTTTGAAAAAACATAGCATTTTAAGTTCTCTGAAGACCCTTTTGCTGCTAATAAGATTTTGAAAGACATTTGGTAATTTTTTTAAAGCCACTCGTCTACCATCTCTTGGATCAGTTACTGCCCTAGAAACAGAATAAACATCATTATTAATTTATTGTTTTTAGTATAAAAAAACTTAATACGAAAAATTGCTATTCGTAATATTTTATAAAATTTTACAAGTCTTACAATTGATAGTTCAGTAACAGTTTTAACCTTCAATCTATCCCTTCCCCATTTTTGTAAGATTTTATACATTTCTTGAATGTTCATCATTTTTTTGTCTTGTCATCTAGTCCTTTACTGACTCTCATTTTCTCCCACCTCTATTTTCTTTTTTCTGTAGTGTATTATTCATTTCTCTGTTAACTGTTTTGTTTTCTCTTTTTCAAGTCGTCTTCTGAAGATCTGACATTCTAACGGAACCTGACTGGTTTCGTTCAGTTGTCTGTAAGTTGCTTTTTTACTATTATTTGTATGTCAAAGACTTTTTTTCGAGAGCTCCCAAAAGGATGGGTCTAGAATTTACACCTATTTCATATGATTTATAGGCTTATACTAGATTGCGAAATTTTATCAAGTTAATTTTTTTAAAGAGAACTGAATATCACTAAATTTTAATTTCATGAATTTTAAATATATAAGTATAATTAGGGTCATAAAAACCGATTTTTGATTATTTATTTTTAAAATAATAAAAATAAGTTAAAAAATCATCTAATAATTCAAAATATTTTGATACTTAAGTTTTTTAACGAAAAATCTTTCGATTTATATAGAAAAAAACAATGTCTAAAAGGTATAGTCTTTCTCAAGTTCTAATTTCCAAAAGTGCAGAAAAAGAACCAAGAACATTACATAAAAGCTTATATCGATCTCGTACTCGAGATTTCTTCATTTTGTTTACTTCACTTCTTATATCATTCTGATAAATAACTTTTTCTTAATGGTAAAAGCTGTTTCATTTAAAGTCTAGGTAGTTATATGCATGATCATTCAGGTTACGTTTATAGTACCTCAGTACATGGATACAACAATGATCGTGCTCTTATTGTTGAATGTTATGTAGAACATGCTAATTGTTTTGAAGAAATATAATATACAATGTTCAATATATATTGCGAATTAAATTTTTTTTTTAACATCTGTCGTGTACCATCATCACCTGGTATGCTTAGCTATAGTGCACCTGCTTTGCTCAATAAGGGTATCCTACCGAACCATTTAGCCAATACTTTTTATATTTATTTATTATGCGATATTTTCTTAAATCTTTGTTTTTCTTCCGTTTTTTTCATCATTTAACTTTAAAAATTCCAATAAATAAATTTTTTTACTCCCTCATTTCATAATCAATCTTTTAAATATTTTTTGGCCAAAAAAGTTAATCAAAATATCAAAAACTGGTCTTTCCATAAAAAAAAAGTATTCAGTAATAATCAGTATAAAGTGCAAATGAAATTAATTTCATTTATTCATTAATTAAATTTTTAATTAATCACACCAAAAATATTTAATTGCGTTAAGATAACTTATTATAATTATTGGTGTTGAAAGAATTTTTACCTAAAACCTTATAAATATTTTAATAAAAATGATATATTATAAAATAGAAATTGATGTTACAGCTATTCCACAATAATTAAATTCTGCAATAAAATCAAATTTATGTAATATACTTTTAACAGAAGTAAATGAATTTTACTATTTCCCATCATTTTTTAAAATAAAATTGAATAAATCAATTTTTTTTCAAATATTAAATACAAATATGCCGATAAAAAATTTTTTATTTTCAATCAAAATCATTATAAAATAAATAATATTTACTTCTCCATCAAATATATTTTATATTGATTATTAACATATTTTTTTGACAATTTTTAATCTCTTAATATGGTTCACAAAATCAGAGTGAATTGTTTGACACCTCGTTTATCAAAATCAGTTGAGTACCTAGTTAAAGTTGCAAACAAATATGGACATGTGTACCTCTGTTAGTAAATAATAGTTATAAAAGTACATTTGGCACGTGATATAAACCGTCAAATAATCATTTTTTATTTCAGATAATATAATAATATCATTTGCACTGTCTGTATTTTGTTTTTCCGTATATCGTGATTAAAATTACGTTCAAGGGTGATCAGTTCAATAATGAATTGAGCAATTGTATAGCAAACATGTACTATGTATGTACGTATATAGGTTCGAATTCAGTCACCAGTTCAATAAAGTTTTTAAATGATGTTCTGAGGAGCATATGGGTCAGCAAATAACCGGAAATCTCCGTTAAAAAAGAACCAACTTAGTTGACACAGATTTTCTACATTTTTCTGTAACCCAACACCCAACTCTTAAGTTGACGGATGGGTTTTTCTTCGTAAGATATTTGAACTTCTCCGCCTGAACTTGAGAGTTTTACTAATCATTGATACTACGTGATGTAGCACATAACAATAAAGTTAAATAAATTGGTAAGAATATGAGATGTTTTTTAAATAAAAAATCAATACAGACTAAGCACAAATACAGATTATATGAAAATTCAAGTTAAAAATATTTCATTAACGAATTTTAAACATTTTTGAAAAATTATTCAATTTGCTTCATGTAAAAAAAAAATATATCGAGGTTTTAAATGAAATATTTTGAATATATTTTTTTGGAGTAAAAATATTGATTTAAACTACTCCAAAAATACTTTTTTTATTTATTTATCCCCTTGTAAACTACATTAATCTATTAGCCTGCTTACCCAACCCATCATACATTGAAATTTTTTTAGGCTAGAGATATCTCGAGCAGTGAATAACGTAAAAAGAATTAAAAAATGAGAGATTTTCACATTTAATAATAGTTAGTAAAAAACTTTGAGTATAGTACAAATCATAAAAAATTTCTCATTTATGTATTTAGCAAGAAATAGACTTTCATCAAAAATATTTCGTTGATATATAATTCTTAACGGTTTTCATGTATAAGGTTAATTTGTTATTATTATCTGGATAAATCATAACAATAGACATATATTAATTAATTTTATTTTCATTACTTCTCTACTGTTATAATTGTTATCAAGGGGAGCATGTTTTCATCATTTTTAATTCAATTTGTTCGAAAAATATTTTTATTTTGTAATCAAAGTACCATATGTATTTGCTCACATTTTCAAAATGTTTATTTATCTAATTTATCAATATTTCATTTCAATCGAAACAGTTCAAACAAAATCATGATAAAAAAGTCGTTTGTTATCAGTTTAACTACCCTATATTTTTTTTAAACTCCATTTTAAAAAGTTGAATACATTTCTTGTAATTTCATTTTCACGACATTATCGATTGTTTAAATAAAAGCTGAGTATATAAGAAAAATGAAGTAAGTAAGTTTGCGTGCGAGTAAAATATAACCTTAGTCTTGTCTTTTGAAATATACAACATTTGGATGACTAATAATTTATTTGTGAAGATAAATTAACGTAGACCTTCTATTGTATCTTGATAAAATATTCCGGATAAAAGGGAATATTTTAATAAAAATCCTCTTATTATAAACGTCCATCATACAGAGACAATAACATAAGTATAATATAATATGACATGACCTTGAAAGAAGAAAAAAGATGTATTATATCAGATATGTATCTATCGCACCAATATTTTGTCCTTCATGGTTTACAAACATGTTCAAGTTTTCTCTCTTTGCAACTGAAACATCATCATGACGTAAAAACAAATCCGAAGCCCAGTGGAAATTGACACTGTAATGCAGTTATATGTCTATCTGCTCTGCGGCACAAGTATGGCAATCTTATATCTATTATCCTTTGTACCTATTAAATAAATACATGTTTCTACTGATTAAAACTCTGTTGTATATCATACGAAAACTGCAGAAAAATTTCCATTTATTTAAGCACGAAATTTTGAACTGTGCATTATTTTTCTAAAAATCAAAAATTACAATGATACTTTTAATTAAATATTATAATTCTAGGGTTGTTAACCTTCCAAGTTTATCGAATCTTTACTGATTATTTTGATAACATACCAAAACATTTTGCTTAATAATGTTCAATATGTTAATACTCATTTGTTTATCAATTCAATACGCTCATTGTCATTAGTCATTTTTTTAACATGCCATCATCGTCAGTGGTCATTCTTTGAATTGTTTCTGTTTCTATTATTATAGTTATTATAAATGATGAATAGTAAAAATCATTGTATATCAATCAATAATTTATAAGAAAGTAGTTAAAATTTTTGTTACAATTATTACAATAATATTTTAATATTGATTGTTGCCATTTATTTTTATAATTCATTTTTTTTATGGTTATTGTTATCAATAATTCTTTTGAATTCAATTTTAATTATTTATTATTGAAGGTATTTTTATTTTAATTAATTATGTTACTAATCACCATAGATATTTTTTTAATTAAAATAAATAAACCTCCAGTCGTTAGATATTTTTATCTTTATTATATTTTATTCAGAGTGTTGGCTTCCTTAATTACTTTTTCCAAATTATTACGTCAAAAAGTAGAAATTTTTCCATTTTTATAAATTTTTTTTTCTTTATCTTGATGGATATTGAGTAATAACCTAAAAAAAATTATTATCAAATGTAAACCTTTTGGATTAATATCATATTTGTAACAATTGACAATTTAATAAATACAATGTGCAAAATTTTTAACAGATTCAATCTGCCAGTAATTTGCTTTCTTCTTTGTTGATTTGTCTCTCCACTTTCACCAACACACAAATTTTATGCTTTCAAGTGCTACAATACACATATATTTTTATCAATATGTATATGTTTCTGCATATTTGTTATTTTTTACAGAAGAGTCAAGATTTTAAGATCAATTCACATGTGAAGCATATCCACCAATATAAATCCAATATTAAGAATCTGTAGTTGAGTGTAAAATCATGAAAAGAAAAAAAGAAGGCCATTGGTCGTCACGGTGTTACAAACACAGAGCTTGACGATAGGCATGTACTACTCCTTACCTCTGATGGTTTCTTTTCCAGTCCTATTTCTCTTCTCATATACTTCAATACTCGTCTTTCTTGGTCTGCTTTACATTCATTCTATGATATTAATATACAACCTCATTATATCCACAATTCTTATGTTAAAAATCATTCTGACTCACTGTAATCCTTGACTCATTTACGAATCACGATTTAACCTTCTTTTGTAAAGCTTTGTAAGGTTGCTATCTATTTACTAATTTTTGTTGATCAAAACTTGGTTTTTTATTCTGACACTTGTTTATGGCTTTCGATAATAATAAAATATATCCTTTATGTAATTAACTTGATAGGTGAGGTTGTGTGAAATTTATCATAACCAAAATTTAAAAGCTATGTGTCAGCCAATGTGACTACAATTTATTATTAAGGGATTGTGAACGACAGGTTTTAATTCGTAATTTTAAGTTAATTTTTTTTTTTTTTTTAGGATAGTAAAAAAGTAAAGAAAAAATTAATTGGTATCTGTTAAATATTATCTTATTTTAGAAGAAAAAAAATTTTCTACGCGAAGAACATTTGGAATTCAATGGTGTACAAAGCTCTCAGTTGTTACAACCGGTTTTTTGAGAAAATGAGTTGCTTGGAAGAACGACCTGGATCAAAAACTCAAAGTGATTGTAATTTTTTCATTAAAAAAAAAAAAAAAAATGATAGTTTGTTTATAAAAAGAAAATATTAATTTTTTTTTATTCATTTTACCTAATAAAATCAGACTAATCTTAAAATAAAAATAATCTGATTGACAGAATGACTTCATCAAGAATAAGTAACTTTAAAAATTAACTTTTTATCAATATTTTTAAAAATATACCAAATTTAACGTCCATATGAAAAGAAAATAAGTTTATTTATAAGTAAATTATTGTTGATTAAGTTTTAATAGATTTATTAATAACGAATTTTAATTCTAACTTATTTAACTGCGATTAATAATTGAAATAATATTAAAATTATTTTTTATTCAAGTACAAGATTTTTCATGGCTAAATAAATATAAGAAATTTTCATTTTGTGTTAACTATTAGTCATCTATTACTAATTTTAATAATTGATCTTATCAACGAAATTCATTTTCATCAAAAACATTTTTTTTTGATTGATGATGGCTGCAAAAAAAATGCTAGTTTCTACCTTTTCTTTTTCGTAGAAAATACTACAACAAAGAACTTGACGTAACTGATCAAAATTAATGATATGTTTCTGATTATTGGGATGAAATGAGCAGAAAATAAGATTTTCAATTAAAATTATACAATAAAATTTATTTTTTTGCATTTTTCTTTCCTATAAATTTTTTCTTATCATAATTTAATAAAGAATACAATAACTAAACTATTCTGTAAGAACAACTACAAAATTTTTGTCAAGTATATCATAGCAATTAATTAACCCTTTGTAGTCTGATGTAATATTTCTGTAACAAACAATAATCTTGCTAAAGTTCGTACTAAATATATTTAGTTCATCCAAATGAGTGTATATCACCAACATTAGTTGGTTTAACATCAATAATACCTAATATTTAAATTAATTTATTTTAACTTTATTATTTTAAAAACTGATTACACGTTTTAATGGTTAAAAAAACGTAAAAAGTATATTTAACTTATATCATTTTTTGTCAAGTAATTTAGCGTCTTAAGGTCAAGATAAGCAAAATGATATGCATCATGAAGAGGTTTGATGCAATTAAGACCATTAAAAGTAATCAACTTAATAAAATGTTATATCTTTTAATTTTTTTATCTACAGAAACATAAGGAATGGTTTGTAGCGTGAGAAAATGGTTAAGTATTGGTACATTAACCCTGCTGAGTAACTTTATAAACGTGCTTAAAGGTACAGGATGAATTAATATAAGCAAAATCAGCCGGTTTAGGCCGCTTTTTCTCTATACGCTATTAGAAACTCGAGCTGTTTTACCATATTCACCCTGTACATAACATATATAATGTATATGTGTATAACTGTGTGATATAGCTCTTGTTCATGTTGTTCAGTTTGTCTTTTCTCATCGCAGATAGGAATTTTTCAAAGACGCCGGGTGTGCTGTAACAGATGCCGAGGCAGGTGACGCTGCAGCTGTTGTAGCAAGGACTTTCCACCCCCGAATACACTCTTTTACCTCTTCCTTTAGAGCAACACCCTCTATAACTTTTATAATTGCAACTTTTCTAACTATTTTATTATTTTTTTGTTTCATTGCCAATATCAACATTGCATTTTATGTGTAATGTCAAATGAACATTCTAATAAATGTTATTAGAATCTTATCAATAATAGTTTTTCTTTGTTCACATCATTCTTTTTTTGCCAAGAGTAGAAATAATTTATTGTTCAATTGGAAATATTCATTGATGCAAAAATATTTGTAGTAAAAATAAGATGTTTCTTCAATAAAAATATTATCTTAAAATACAGATGAAGAAAAATATTGGTAAAATAATAACTATCAATTTGAGCGTTAAAATTATTGTGGTGAAATTTATAATAACTAGTGTGTATTGTGAGCTCACCCTATACATACAATATACATTCACAAATCGACAGGATATTTTTCGAATGTAGTCCGCCAGACGGGTCTACTATCCGAAATAAAAGGCTTCCAAGTATGAGGGAGAGGCAAATAACGTTTACGGATTCGTTCCTAGAGGTATAGTACAAACGTCGTCCATTCAAGTTCATTTCTCATTTCTATTGAATGCAAGGATACCCATCACTTCTCTTTCTCTCTCTTTCCTGGCCCCTCGATGCTCCTCTCATTATTCTCTATCTTTTTTTCTTTTTAACCGAAACTCAAAAAAATGTCTGAATAAAGGGAATTGGAAAAACTTTCCAATATGTATTAAAACCAAAAATCCGAATCATTACCTACGGAAATTTTGTACAACTTGACGTGACTGAGCAATGGGAAAACGATTTATTATATCTATCCTTATTTACATTTTACATGCTTCAATAGTAAAATTCTATGCTATCAATGCAACAATTTACTTTTTGTTACCATACTATTATTGTTAACACAAAATATTCTCATCACATACTAAATTTTCCAACTAGAGTTCACCTTCAACGTATATCGGTTAAGTAAATAACTAATAACTTGAAAGGAAATAAAAGGCAATGAAAATTATAAGTTAGCAGTAAAACGCCAATTTTTGAATAGCGAGAATATTTCTTGTCCCAAAAATATTTTTCAGTGTTTTTTTGTCGCTGAAAGGTCAATAAAAAGAAAATAAAATTTATAAATAAATTTTCCAGGACATAGTAAGTTTCAGAATTGATGTTATTATTGAATTACTCCAAAATATATTCACTTTAATTTTTAACGTAAAAATGGTTTTCATGCTTCGTTGAAGAGCAATAAGAAACAAGCTTTCCGTTAAATATCAATTTAAGTTTCAACATAATAGGTAACGTTAACTTGTGATAAATAATATTACTCCAAGTGATAACTGGTCTTATTCTTCCCAATCTAATAATTTGATTGCCATGTAATCACAAAGAGAATATTTTTAGAACAATAAATTCTAGTTGTGTTCTATAAGCTCGTAATTTCAATAAATTTGTAATAATCAAAATAATTATTCATTAACACTTGAATTCCTTTTACAATTACATTAGAAAGATAGAAATGTATTATTCATAAATGGTGAATAATTTACTGTTCAAAAATGCCAACTGTAAATATCAGTAATAATTCATTTTTTATTTTGATTGAATTTTTTGTCCTGAAATGTAAAGAAGTATTGTATGGGATGAAAACTTACCAAACAACACCAAAAGCTCCATAACCAATAGGCCTATCGGGTTGGACAGGATCCTGAGTAGGGGGAGGTTGGGATGGTGCAGGGGCTGCAGGATGATAATAGTTGGAGGGTGCTTGAGCAGCGAGAACAGCCTGACCCGGATGAGTCCCCGCTGTTGAACCTCCGCCGGTGGTCGTACCGGCTCCACCCCCCTGCATCAGTGACATCGACACGCTCATGGACACCCGCGAGTGCCGGCTTGGCCCCACCACTGCCATCAAGTCCTCCTAGGAGATTCCTAGGCTGCTAGACACTTCCCTTTCAAGTTTTACGACTCCTTAGTGTCGTAGTTTTCTCCTTGATCGACGAAAAATCGCCACTTTCTTTGTTCTTCTTCCCTTTGAGCCAGAGTAACAAATTGATTCAATGATGATTTTCAAATTGTCATATTTTTGAAGCACTTTTTCCCAAGTAAATCAGCCGTCATGAAGGACATAGCCAAAGATATGTTGATGATAAGAGAAATATTCCAAATTTATCTAGGAGTTTTTCTTTTACACTCTAGGTTAGGTCAACTATTCCAACTGTAATTCTCACTCATATTTGTATTCTCACTTTTTTGTCGTTATCTTGATCAGTCGGTGCATCAGTTGGCTAATGAACTCAATCGTAGTAAGGAAGATTTGAAAATGAAGGTAATATTTATGAAGTTGATTTGACGACAACGAGGAGAGACAAGGAATAAAGAGGAAGCGATCAAAGATGGGAGAGGGAGCGGGGGATGACGATGGAGGACGCGAGGCCACTGTCCTCGTCTCTTTTATATTTTTTACTTGAAATCAAGCCCGTAGTGGCTGCACTCAGAGATTGATAAGGAACACGAAAATCTAAATAGTCCACCGTTATACTGTACGTTTTCCACTTTTCTTTTTAACACTGTCACTTTCCACTCTTACAACAAATGTATACTTAGTTTGTAGCTTTTATTACAATGCAGCCTACTGACAATAGTTGCGTTATTTTTGGTTTGCAAGTCTTTATTGAGATGATACTTGGCGTTAAGTATTGAACAATTAAAAAAAAAACAAAGAAATAAATAAGCAAATGTGAAAACTCTAGAGAGTTTTTCCCATCAACACTCACAAACACACACACAATACACTTTAGGGTGGAGATTTTTCTTGCAAAGGGAAGAAAGAAAACGTAAACACGTCTATGAACAGCCGAGGCTCATTGGCCACTGTTGGCCACTGTTGTGAGACACCGACTCGTAATCGAGTGTATAGAATGTGTATGTAACCCTCTTTTGTGCAGAGAAAGCTGGATTATAGCTTTGATATTAGCGCACTCTAGTCAATAGAGTTCTTTTAGATAAAATCTGGCACTCGTGATGCTGAGACATGGCTGACAATGTCTGGCTTATTACAGAAAACAAAAGTAAATAAAAGTTCAATTCTGTATTCCGAGGGATCACTCCAGATCACCCCAACCACATTAAACTCTAACCTGGCTCCATAGGAATTTAGACTAAATTTGTTGACCACATCAACCTATTTGAAATAAACTTCTATTCACGTCTCTCTTCTCTGGGCTCATAAAAAAATTCAAATTTCTGCTGAAACATGGCTTCGATATGTCAGACCTGCTTGAGTTATTCTACTAGTGACCTCTTGGATTCTTTCAAAATTGATATCAATATTCAGACACGCTATTTTTAAACATATTGAATTAAATGTATTTCAAGCATTTTGGTATTAATTAATTAATAGATAAATAACGTAAATAAATTCGTTTATGATTAACAGAATTTCAGTCTTTACAAATATTTGTTAGATTCTAAAAGGATTGATAAAAACAAGTTATATTATTAAACTGTAAGCCCGATTTTTGTAATAAATAAATTTTTTTAATAATAAATTTTTATACTTTAAAATACATAATTAAAAGTAAATTTATATCATCTGGTTTTTACATTTTCATGTCTCTTTTTCTTTAATGTAAAAAGAAAAATTCTCTGAAAAAAATAAATAAAAAACATTTAGATACCATAATACCGAATAATTTTCTATCACGTTAGTATTTAGTAAAATATAGTTCACTTCATATGATAGCTAAAGATTTTTTCTTTTTCTTTAGAGCACAAATTTACATAATACGGTTTTACAGCAAAAATTTAAAGCAAAAGCGGAGGAGTACTATATACATGAAATAATACATTAAAAAATTACAAAAACCTTTAAATATGTACATTATTCTTACAAAATTCTGTTTTTGTATCAATTATACAAGGGGTTGTTCATAATTACCATTATGAATATAATCACTAACAATACAAGCAGACAATTGCACCATTTAAACTTCCAACTTCCCTTACATATTTTTTCTCAAATATTTAGTTTTCATATTATTATTTTTTTAGTTTACACGTTCCTAAAAAAAGATATTAATGCTCGCAGATATTTTTGAGGTAGATTTTGAATAACTGTAATAAAAATCAATTGTTAATTCATTAACAGCTGAATGAATATTTTAATAATTTCATGAAATTTCCATCTCAAGACAACTCGAATCCTGTGTTGCTTGTAACAGCATAACGTAATTTTTCTCTTAAAGTACTCTTTTTCTGATAATTTGGTAGTTTGAGTAAATTGAAACATGTCGAGGATGTTGGTAATCGATTCTGAGGATCTTTTTTTCTTATTGTGAAGAATCCTCTGATAACACTCCCAATAGTATCACCAGTATCTTCATCGTCACTTACTTCAACACATCTAATAGAAAATTGTGGCTCTAAATGAGCAAATCCTAAAAGTGGTGACTTAGAACAGCTTGTAACAAACTTGAGAAACAAACCACGTTCTTCTTCACTGAAATCTTTTTCTAAAATATCCCAAAGCCAACAAACAACTCTGTGGTTATCATGAAATCCTCCATAATATTGTGTATGCCGACGAAGATCTCGAAGATCTAGGGGAACATTATCCCCAGATATTAATCTCTGAAGTTCGGGTGTTGAAAACAATGAAAGCCAATCAGGATTAATGATAGACTTGAAACCTTTAGTGAATGCTGCAGTTTGGTCTTTAATTTGCCTATGCATTCTAAAGTGTGCCATATGATGAATATAATTAATTTTATTTGAGTTAGTTACAGGTTCAGCTTTGCCGCCTGGATTCAATTCATGTGTTACAAGCTCTCCCATCACGTCTTCATCTAATGAAAATGTTAATTCTAATTCGCTTACATCACCTTTATAATGTTTTACAAGAGTTAAACTTCTGTAAAGATCACGATCAAGTGAAGCTAATTCATCTAGCCAGCTATATAATGCACCACCTGCTTGTCCTGAAAATTGAGAAACGAAGAATGAAGCAAAAGGAACATCCACCACAATTCCTTCATAGACAGCTTTGCCTAACATCCGACCAACAAATTCAAAAAGTTGTAAATGGTTTTCTTGCATATACGATGTTGGAGATGGATACAGTCTATTTTCACTAGTAGCTTTAAAAAGGTTGAGAGACGGATCAAATACACGTTTTATAGTTTCTTCAAGAAATTCTTTGAATACTCCATCTTGATCAATTCCTGCTTCATCTAATCCTTGCTCATTAATGAATCGTACTCGAATCACTCCTTTTAAGGCTTGAGGCGGCAGCATTGCAAGCTGTCGATAGCCGTCCTCGACGATTCGTGATCTGTGAACGGCAATCAAAGTGGAAGATGGGCTACTATTGCACGCACTTTCAGTTAATCCCAAGACAGCTTTTTCATCAGCTACATGCTTTCTAAATAGGATCACACGTTCAGAGTGAGGGATAACATGAGGCATTTTTGAGAGTAATAAAGCTGCTCCTCTTCGGCCTTTCTCTAAGTCTGCTAAAAATCCTGATACTCGTACTTCCTAAATAAAAATAGAAATATTTTATTACTAAACTTATTATTCATTAATAAAACTGGTAGAAAATTTTCCAAGCATCTAACAAGTTAATTACCTTCGCTAACCAATGTCCTTCTGGACAGAATGTTCTTCTACAATCACGTCGATAAATTGCCATTAAGAGTGTATGAAGTGACGTAAAAAGAGGATTATTTGAAATGGTTTTAATATCTGTAAGATTTGTAAGTTAGTATATGTGTTGGATAAAAGAAAGGATGAGATCTTTAATTGCACTTTTTGCTGACATCACATACTTAACTTACATGTAAACTATTTTATAATTAATTAAACTTACCAAAAAGATTGTTAAGAACAGCTTTATACAAAAATTGATTTAGGAAGTACGATATCGTAATGAAATCGGATAATTTAAAGGGATCTTGTTGCTCATACATTTCCATATCATCGAGTATTCTGCAAAAAAAAAGCTTTTGTAAATAAAAAGTAATTTATAATTTAAAGAGTTAATAAAATTGACTCTTACGTCACATAATGAGTCATACAGTCACAAAAAAGTATGAGCATTTGAAATTCAGGCGCATTGTATTTGGTATTTGCTGCAAAATGATCAAGAAAGGCTCTCAATCCACATTGAGGTCCCAATGTATTTAAAAAAAGCCACATATGGTATAAAATTTTGTCTTGATAACATAACCCAGTGAGAATATCAAGCTTCATTTGAGTGAGGGTATGAAGAGCCGTTTGATAAAGTGAACAAATGAGGGCAATTTTTGTTGTTTCTGGACTGCCAAATTTCCGGTAACTTTTGTTAGTATTATTTCGATTGGTCCGTGCTTCTAAAAATGCACGACGGAAAATGTTTGTTCCAGTTGATGAACTTTGGTTGTTCTGATGATTTTGATCTGATAAAATCATTGGAATGTCTTTTTCAACTATCTCCATCAGCGGTTGTCCTGAATAGAATGTATTAAAATTTTTATACATAATGTACTGTTGTTGCAAGTTAATCGAACACTTTTAAAAGCAATCATTTAATAAACATACCCATTAGCTGAAAAACAATTTTTCCTGTCCATAAATAAGATAGTTGAATTTTAATATATGAAATGGCACCATATAGAGATGAATCAACAGATTGAGCAAAACATCCTAAAACTGGATGCCAGTGTGTTAAATTGCTTTGCTTTGCCACAACATACTGCTGACATGATTCAAGCATCTTTGTCACAACAAAAGTAAATGACGGAAAGTATAAGTTTTTTAGAGTTTCATCTTTCTCAATATTAGCTAAGTGTATTAAGTTTGCTAATAAACAAAGAGCGTAATTTCCTTCTAAAGCATTAAATATAATTCTTAAATTTTGGTCGGAATTGAGTAATTCAAGACTTTTCGTAAATAAACTGTAGTTAATGAGTAGATTTATACACTAAAATACACATCAAACATTAATAATTATTGTTATTTAGATTAGTTTTGTTTTTTTATGATATAAATAAAGTAATTACCTCTATTGAATAAATATTTAGTTGATATATTAGAGCAGGTACACTAAAGATATTGATTAAAAATAACGATAATAATTTTTCAGACATTTGTGACGATATCAATGGTCGCATGGTTAAATTGACTGCCGCAGAAAGGGCTAATGGTTTTAAAGCTATTTTTTCTCTTCCTAATCCTTTCACCAACAATGACTAAATCAATACAAAATTAAATAATTGTTGAATATACATATTACAACAATAATTATCTTGAACATTGAACACGCTAAATTTCATACCTGCATGACAGTGTAAAATCGATTATTGACTAGATGTCCCATTATATTAGCACACAATTGATTCATTCCAGTCTTCAGTTTCTCCATACTTTTTGCCTTCAGTATTGCCCATGTACCCGTTGATGTAAAACTCACAAGAGTGTGTAATCTCAGAAGAATACATTTATGATCTGCAGGTCTTTCTGGTCTCAAATCATCTAATCCAATCATACATTCGTACAATATTGTTTTCATCTGTGATATCCAAGATATATAATGGTCTTTGTTTAAAGCTACTCCAACGTAAGAAAACTTTGGTAACTCTGAGTCCAACGTTTTTACTAAATATCTTTAAATAAATATTTTTATGAATACCTTCTATTATGCATAAAATAATCATTAATATGTGATTTAATTTGTACCTGCATATTTTTTCTATTCTACTTTGATCTCTGTTTCTTTTGAAAATTATTAAAAATCTAGAAATTAGTTTATAAACTTGTAAGGCTGGTTTAAGTTGTACTGTAACTGATGGATCCGCTGGTTCTTCTGGAAAGTGTTGATCAAAGTCATCTCTGTAAAATGCATAAGAATAAAATAATTAGTATCTTAATAAATCATTCAGAATTATTCAACTTACAAAATTTGAACGGTAAATTTGGTTCTTGCAAGCCATCCTCGTATATGGGCTTGGATACAAATAACAGCAGCTTCTTTACGTTTTTCATAAGCTCTTTCTTCTCTAGCAGCTTTCGTTTGCTGGAGGAAACTACCTTTTGGTGACTCTTCCGTTTTAAACATTTTTCAATAGTTTATTATTGAAAAATTGTTGTTAGTAAGAGTAGATTATATATTAACAAAATTGATTTTATATTTAGATTCATTTAAAAACACTTTAATCACAGTACATTTTATGAACACACATCTTTGTTCACTGTTATTAATTCACTATGATTGAAAATATACTAAAATAAAACAAATATTTCATACTTTGTTTGACAATAAACTTCAATCGCCATAATTGTTTTTTAACAATTACTGATAATTTTATAATGGCATCTTAACCTTAAAAATCAAATATGATATAATAAATACTTTATTACCATTTGCATTGTCAATGCATAAAACTTAACCATTTTTATGTTATATTATTAATAAATATCATAAAATATGTTAAATAATAAAAATATTCCAACAGAATAAAACAATAAAAAAATATTTACTGAGAAACCAAAACTTGTAGAAAAATTTTTAAAGTCGCCATATTTGATATGGAAGGTGGGGTAAACAATGTCGATTTGGATATTGCACAACAAAGAATTTTTTAAACAATCTGATTCAATTAATTAATTAAACGATTAAATAAACCCTGGAAAAAATTGAATATCATCGTTGTTTGGAACATTGAGACAAACTTTGCAAATTTTCATGGGATACATAATTTATTTACATCAGAAGGCAAAGTATCGACAAAAATTCTTAACGCTGCTGACTTATAATACACTGTATACTTATATTTTTACAGAGAAAAATTCATAATTTTTTGGTCAGTAATATATTTTTGATTAAGTTATTTTGTATTTTCCAGAAATTTATTTGAGTTAATTCTGTATAATGATACAGTAAAATTTAATAATAAAAATCGTGAAATAAAGAAGAACATTAAACTAGTTGAGACATGTTTATAAATTATTCAATACTAACTATAAGTAATTATGAAATAACAATGATAATTACGTTTAAATTACTAATAAATGAAGTATTTAAAAATACTTTTTACGTCAATATTTTGAAATGTCTTTTAATTGATCTTTATTTGTTTTTAGAATAGAATAAAATTTGAAATATGATGATACTAATCTTTACACAAACATATAGATAAATATATTTTCCTCAAAATTAAAGCTGACTAGACTGCTGTACTAATATAAGTAGTAACATAAGATTACAAAAATTAGTTAATTGATATATGCGAAAATGGTTTTTTTTAGATAGAAGGGTTTGTTTCCAAATTATTTAATTCATTTTAGAAAAAAAAATATAATAATTTTAGTATAAATATTACTGCACTTTCATTTTTATTGTAAATAAATTATCGCATAAAATGTCATGTTTTTTTGACAAAATCTTTAGTAATTATGATGCTTTGCTTAAAGATATCAATTACAATGTAAAATTGAAAGAGTACTATTTTTAAATTTTAAATTTGTTATAATTTCTAAACAAATTATGGTCTTCAGTCCAGTGGTTAAAATATTTTTAAACATTTAGGAATTCATAATAGTTGTATGATACTACCCATATAGCAACCTTCAACAATTTTTTTTAGTTTTGATACTAAAAAGCAGTCATAAAATTTTATAGCTTAATATTCTGTATATTAATGTCGTTAATTCGCTAACTCATCAATTGTCATAATTAAGTTTTTTGCAAACTGGAATGATGATGAAAAGTATTTTGATAAAGAGAAAAACTTTGGAAAAGTTCTTGTAAATACTCGATAAATAATTATAGTTGGAATACATCATTTTTTTTGAAATATTTTATTTGTATTAAATTTTTTTCATTGCACTCAAACGATTTATTTGGACTTTAAAAACAGCTAATACTGTTTCCAGTAATCCACAATAAATGGCCATTAATTAACTGTTACTGAAACATTGTATTAATTACTCATTCAACTTTGTTTATAAAATAATTATATACAATACCATCTCACAATCATTACTATCACAGTGTTAGTATTAAAATCCGTTAGACTATAGAGTCAATCAACGGATTTTTTGGAGAGGCCTATGATAGGATAGATTTTTGTAATTTCAGCGATTTAGTTAAAACCATTGTTTGGTAAAGAGAGAAATGGAATACTATTCTTATCAAATTTATGACAAACAATAATTTGTCTAGCATATTTTTCAGAATATTATTATTTAAATATTTATCATTAACTAGAAAAAGCCAAGCAATTGTTTGACTTTTAAATAACTCCAAAAATCTTTAAATATTAAACTTAGCAAGTTTTATTTAGTGATAGACGGTTTTGTCTCTTAATTTATTATTTTAAATAATTTAAAATTGGCTAGCTACTGTTATAATCATATTTAGAAAACTTAAGTAATTGGAAAGATAAATAATTAAATATATACAAGTGTTTGATAACTATAAATATAACAAAAAAGAAAAGTGAAGAGAAGATGTAGAGCAATTCGACTCGGCTTATTCATGGATTTTATCTTTTTTAAATCCTTTTTATGTTGGCTTTTTGTTTTTTTCACTAATAATATCAATAACTTTCATTGTGTCGGTAAGTTATATAATAATTTAATAGAATTAATTATTAATAAATCCTAATAAATACATTTATCACGTCATGTTTACACCTAATGCTTGTCTGAAACGTTCATAAACTACATAACTTATTGATACAGCTGGTGCCACCTGTTTATAAAAAAAAAATTTATGTGTTTATTTATGTATATTTTTGAATCAAGAAACAACATTTATTGATATTTTATGTATTAAAAAGTATACCTTAAGAAAATTAGGTGTCAACCCTCTGTATAAACCTCTTATTCCTTCTCTTTGAATAATATCCTGAAAAACTCCAATCATTGTATTTGGGCTATTTCCTGGAGATAATTCTGCTTGTAATTTAGTTCTGACTAGTGCTAGAGGGTATGAACAAACTTGTCCAGCAGTACTTGAAGCAGTACCACAGAGAAGTAAAACCCAGAATGCTGGCTGTTCATTATCAGTATGTGTTTTTAAATATCTATTTTTTAAAGTCTGCACAAAAAAATGTTTTCTTAAAAACTGTTATCAATTTAATTTTTAATATTAAATTAAAAGAGAATTAAATATTACCTCATATACAGCCAAGTCAATTCCAGCATATGGAAGTATTCCAATCAAATTAGGAATGTAACCCCGATAAAAACTTCTTAGACCACCTTGAGCATAAATTTTTTTAGCTGCATCTAAAATTCCTGAGAATTCACCAGTTTTTCGAAGTGCTAATCGTGTTTTTAATACCTAGAAAAATTCCCAAAAATATTTTAATTTAATATTAGTTATAAATAGTATGCTACAAAAAAAAATAATTCACTTTATTTAGTAACTTACTTCAAGTGGATAAATTGCAGATTGACTTATTCCACCAGCTATTGATCCCGCCATGAATCTTTCATCGATTCTTAATTCCCTTGAATCGTTTCCCTTAATTGATCTCTTCACTTGTTCATAAGCCATAAATTTGAGAGCAGTTTCGGGGCCAATTTTAAGTACATTTATTCCATTTCCTCGCCATAAACTAAAGATTCCACCTTCTTTCAACATATATCTTAGACAGTTTGTCATATTACAATGCCTTGTACCATGGACCTAAATTAAAAATATGTCATGTTAATATTTAATCACACAATGATAAATTATTCTTAAATCTATAGAAAAAATTTTAATTAAATTAAGAAATTATTTTCAAAGTTATATGCAATAATACGTTGAGGTTATAATCATGTTTAGTATTTATAAATCTAACCTATTCAATAAACATTTAAAAACCATTACAATCATAAAAAGTATGTCACTAATTCCTACTTGTAAATAAACTTTTATTCGATCTAGAGGTGCTGTACAGGTGCGCGAAACAGCTCCAGCTATTCCGCCAGCAAGTAAATGTCTCCACCACATTCCAGTAATCATCTCACTGCTTGTAAAGTCATCAGGAACTCCAATATCTTCTCCAATATCCATGTACTGTAATAATAAAAACAATATCAATTAAACAAACGAATTGTTGCATCAAATAAAGAAATATGTATTTTTAAGATCATAATAATTATTTCAATAATTAAAACGTCATCAAAGGTAAATGAATTCTCAACATATTATATTGATTGAATGTATTAACATGTTTTATTCAACTCTTAGAAGCTTGAATGCTTCTAATTGTATGGTGAGTCTTTGTAGGGTAATTGACCCGATATTTATAATAGAAATAAAAAAAGACAAGTCAAACATCAGTTGAGTTTTGAATAAATACAGTGAGTTTACTGGAAAATTAACAATCAATCATTTTTGTGTTAACTAAAATAATGTATATATATATATATATATTATTTTAGTCAAACCAGGCCACGTGATAAGTGACTGTATTTTTTTTTATTCAATCACGCAAGAACTCAAGGACACAGATCATGTAGAAATGAACAATGAAGCCTTACATAAAGTATATCAATTATTAATTGATTACAAAATTATTGATATTATATTTATATGTTATATGACACTTTGAAAATGATTTTACACAGAAGAGTTTGTCTACAGTACAATTAATACTTAACTTTACATAGATTTCAAGAAATATGTCACTATCTATGTTGTCTAAAGTATCCATTATTATTTTAAAATACTTTTCAACAAATATTCTAAGTTATGAACAATGTAAAAAAAAGATTAAATAGATGTAGAAGTCTTGATAAACTAGCGTTGACAAGTATCACACTAATGGTTTTAATTGAAGTTACAACTGAATAATATCAGATATAGGAGTAGGTGCTTTAGGCATCCAGCCAGAAATTCCGTAATTTGAATTACTGCCCAATGTCACGTGCAACTTATTTTACATCCCTAACAACCGGCTTGGTAGTTCTCATCTTGGATAATACCTATTTAGTGTTGGTTTAAGATTGAATTAATTCAGAAAATGTCAATCGATGGTGTAGTTTCCATTCAAAAACGTGATACTTTCCCTTGCACTTTTAGTCCCCACTTTTGATTACCATGACGATGACGAAAGGAATGCACGTAAGAATGAACACTTATTTTTAAGTAAATGTTTCAAATATTTTTTTGTTACATAAATGAAGGAAATAAACTAAAATAGTTTTTGAAATATAAATATAACTAAAATTTCTTCATGTTGGCAGAATCGAATAAGAAAATTGAGAAAGATATTTATTAAAAATGCTGGCCAGACAAAAGTTGTAATATTTAACTGCGTTTTATAATAATTGAAGGAAGATAATGCTATGCATTTTTGAAATAAATTATTAATATTAAATGGTATACTATCATTAATTTGATGATAAAATGCAATGTCTTATTATATTGTAGACATAATGACGATAGTGATTAACATAAACTTAGATAAGCTTTCTTAAACTTGAAATTTGTATGAAAGTAAAATCAAAGACCGTTTAATTGTGTCAACTTTCTAATTTTTTTCTTTTGAGAGTAGCATAATTGTTTTCTATAAAACTGACGCATATTTAAGATTTTATCAGCCTTGAAACATTCAATAATCAGGAAGTTCAAGAATCACAATGACTCACAGTCAGCACGCCGGTTAAAACACAAAAACATCTAGAGCTAACGTCGCGATTTATTTTTTTTTTTTTTTAATCACATTAATCAATCTATACATCCATGTTTTTAAAACAATCTTCCTTACCCTTTGGAGTAGTTCATGATAATTGTGAAGGAACTCCTCACAAACTTGACATCCGTGTCCCAGTCTTTCTTGTTCAAACATTTATAATCACGTAATTATTTTTCACTTCATATAATAAAAAAAAAAAATATATATATATAAATATATTTTTAATATTTAAATTAACTAGTCTCTATTTAAAATTCACTAAAAGTAGCAGGTACTTGAATGGGCAAGGAAAAGTGTTACTTTCCTTTCTCTTAAGGTGAGAGCTTGGGACTAACAGCCAGACTAAGTTAACACTGGCTTCAACGTTGCTTTGCGTCAGTGAAGATTAAAATATGATCGACTAGGGGAAGTCCCCACTACGTCTTTCCATACGTCATATAATATCATCATGAAAGAGATATCCGAATTGAATCGCTTTAATTCAGAATTGTTTGAAATCATTTCTAGTATTTTCGTTTTTTTAACCGTCTTCACAAGTATCATAAATATTATTGTTGTTTCTTTTGAAGTAATAAAAAAATTTTTAAAAGTTATTTCAACTTTGTAATAAATAAAAATTGATTGTAAGATATTTACAATCACAGTTAATTTTTCAACTATCTCTATCTTCTTCTTTTTAATTAACATCAGTATGATTTGCATAATACATGTGAAAAAAGAATTTTTCAAGTCTTGAAATATTGTAAATAAATATTTATTCCTAAACCAGTTCTAAATTTTGATTCAGAATCAATCAGGACTGCCTGGGAAAGAAGATAATTGATTAGATATTGATAGATATGACTGATAAGAGATTTATTGCAAATCTTTTAATGTATAAGTTTCCATGAATTCCAACAGTAGTCTGAAGTATAACGACATTGAAATATACCGCAAAAAATTAAGTGACGTCAATTTCAAGATCAAAAAACTCGGTTAAAATATTCCAAATGATGATTGTAGAATTTCGAAATTGAATAATGGCGAAATTGATAAATAACTATTGCAAATAGATGATATTCAATCGTTAAAAATAAATAAATAAATAAAATATCGTTTGAGTATACATATTATGTGGGTTACATTACGTCAATTTATGAGAAATTATTAAGATCTTTAGTGATAACAGACTACTTAAATTTATAAATATTGTTTTAAATAGTGACTGACTTAACTGAATGTTGAGGTCATGTAAGATAATATGAAAATGACAGTGTATGTACGTCATCAGATAATATGTGACAATAAGAAATGTCATTTTGTAAGACCGGTTAGTCGAGCCTCTAAACATCAACGAATCGTATTCCAAGTTTATTTAACTTTTGTCAGTGTGATTACGGCTATTACTTTATCTGCACGATGTCTTTGTACCCTCAGACATCATGTAATTCAAGTTCAGACTATAGATGTCACAAATATGCATCGAAGATACGAGATATTGGTATAAAAAATATTTCAAAATAATTAATGTAATAAAAACAACATTTTGATTTTAAATTTACAATACATAACTCACCGTTGAGTGACGCCAATATTTAATGATTTCCCGAATATCAGAAGGTGCATAGAGGAGAAAATCTCGCCATTCGTTGAAATTAATACTTAGACTACCATCCTGATCCATTCTAATATAGTAAAATATTGATTATTCAGTATCATTAGAAGTTGGTGGAAATTTTTATAAAATTCATTTGATACACACCTTTTCAGTAATTTCTTTGCTTCCGCTCGATCCATTTTAATTCCAAGATCTTTATTAAATGAACTAATTAGTTCTTCCAGATCTATTTTACCTGAAAAAAAAACAAAAAAAACTTATTTGAAATTTTTAACTATCAATATGTTCTATCTACTTCATTCGATTTTCATAATTGTTTTAACAAAATTATTTTTTTTAGAAAAAGGTATGATTGAGGAATGAATAATCGAACAAAAACAGGTAAATTTTTTAAAAATAATATTTTGATCATCGTTATTATTTTGCAGGATAAATAATAAACTTTGGATTATAACTTAAAAATAAATAAATATTCACCGTCTTTATTTTTGTCAAGATGAGAAAATTGAAGACGAAGTTTTTTTTCATGTTCGATAACATAATGAATGAATTCAGCTAAACCAATATCGCCACTTTTTGTGCTGTCTGATTGAGCTAAAAATTGCTGAAATAATAAAAGGGTGCTATCATAAATAGATAATTAAAATAAACAAAACCAAAAAGGTAATTATTTTTCTCTACATACCTCAGCATAACGTTGATGGACACCAACTTTCATAAGAGCTTTGGATAAGTCATGAACATCTATTCTTCCATTTCCATCTTGATCTAAGTGTTGGAAAATTTTCGAAAGTCTTTCTTCGTCCTGTTCAGGTAGTTCATGCAGGTAATGGCCAGGTAGTATTCTTGATGCTTCATTTCCTCGAGAGTTCGGCATTTTTAAAATTTATTTTAATAAACTCATAAATGAATTTAAAAAATATTTTAATGCACTTGATTAATTTTTAGATTAAAATTTTACTGTAAAATAAAAGCCTCACAAGCTGTGACTTAGTTATTTCACACCGTTCGATACTTATATGGCACTATTCGAACGTAGAGTATAACATTGTTTTATTACATGTTAAATAGTTCATTTATGTTAATTATTGATTTTTTTTATACTTTGGATGATTTCAGATCTGTAGTAAGAATTCTAATCTTTTCTTTAAATAATAAGCAGACATTCATTGATAGATGAACTTCAAATTCATACAAATTTGTATGTGAAAGTGAACACAATTATTCCATAATCCGTTAAACGAATAGATCATTTCACATCATTTTTTCGCACTAAAAACTGCTGCACAAATTTAGCACATTTAAAGACTGATAGAATGCACGTTTTATACGTGTGCATATTTATATTGGCCGCAAAATTCGTTATAATTTCTGTCATACTTTATTCAACAATAAAACCGACATTTACACGCATTCTGAAACTCCATATTTAGAGCAATTTACGGAAACAACGCTGGTAGTTATTATTAATAGTCGTTAAAGTAGTATTCTGCATTTAAGTAAGATGGCCATCTGCGCGCCAAATTTAAATTTTTTATTATTGAAAATAAATATGAAAACAATATTGAGATTTATTATGAAAAAATTTGAAATTTAACAAATACGTATATATTTTTTTATTTATACAAATCTGACATAAAAACATTTGCCGCAATAATTTTCTTTGTTTTTTTAACAATTTATATAAATAGCAATACATTTTTTTAGTGCACTGGTTATGTAAATTATACATATATAAGTAAATGTATTATCAATTTGTATACAACTTTTTCCCTTGTTTCTTTATTTATGTTTAAACTAAAAACATCAATAATATATTTATAAAGGTTTATACCGTCAATATGGGTATATATGAATAAAGTCCTTATCGATAAAGACATGTTTAACATGCAATTTATTTGAAGCTAGCACAAACGGTAATGTTGTGCTTATTACTTCCCTTTACACAGCCTTTTACCATCTTATTTCTTTGTTGTTTTTGCCATATTGAATTAACATTTTATAATATATTTGTAATCGAAATCAAATTTTATAAATCCATAAAATACTTTTCTTTTAAAGAATGAATCAATTGCACAATATTTCATCACAAAACAAATACTCAATATTAATGAAGTCATTATATAAAGTAATAAAAATACATAAGAGTAAGATGATAACAGTATTATTTCAAGCACAAAGAAAAAAATCATTCTCTGTCCATCACACTTTCTAAGGCCATGTGATACTTCCAATAAAACTGGAATCTTCATTATTTAAGCTATAAGCATGTCCATTTCATAAAAATATAATTAACTGAAATATTATTGCAAATTCTCTCATTATGTGAGTAACAATTAATTGAAATTAATACGACGTTGAACTCGTATCACTTCAAGTATTACATTAAATATATTATTTTCTCAATCAGAAATTTGTTAACAAAAATAAAGAATATATAATAAAATAATTTTTTTTAATTCGAGGAACAGTCGAACTGTTTTTTAAAATTAAACTGAAACATTGACCAAATTGAGATATTAATAACAATAGTATATGTTTGTCATAAACAAATACTTATGTACACTTATTTTTAAAATTTATATTTAACTATTTATCTAAAATAAGATAATAGTTAAAATTTGTTTCGAATTTTATAGTGACATGATACTTGGTATTCCTTGCTCCAATGTGCAAATATAAATATACAAATAATTAGTCTATAATCGTCATGTTTATGAAACACTAAAATCGATTTTTTCTGTTAAATTTTAACAAACACATTTTCATCCTTAGCTTGATTGTTTTTAAAATATGTTCTTCATCTTTTACGTGCATTTTGCACAGTTACATAACTACAAGCTTTTTCATATGACCCTGCAACATATTGATAATGTCCAGCTTCATAATAATTATTATTATTTTGAACTTCAAAAATGGTTGAAGTTCAGAATAATTGAAGAAAGAATTAGTTTATATCACATTGTTTTGACCATTGGAGATGGATATCTAATAAGTACAGTATTTATGTGATGGGATTAAAAGCAGTGAAGTCTATTGATTTACCTGATTTGAACTTATCTAGGATTTCCACGAGTTCTCTTACCATAAAATGTATGTATTTTCAATTACTTCATCACCATGTAAATTAAAAAATTTATCTCAATATTTATGTCCTTTCAAAAAGTCCAAAGAATCGTTATATAAAAATTACAATTGTGGAACATTGTCATCTTCGTTAGACCAACGTTTTTCTTGTTCTTTTAATTCATAATCCCAACGAATTTCAAGCTCTCGAATATCATTTGCTATATCTGCTTCGTATGAGTCTTCCTGTATTATGAATCAATTATTGGATTAATGAGTAAATTAATGAAGAAGTAAATTGGACAACAAATGCATTAAATAAGTTACTTAAACTAATAAAATAAAGGTAATTAATAATTAAAGGAACCTACGTCTTTTGTAGTAAAATCATTATTTATCGAATGATTAATAGTCTGATCAGACAGAAGATTATTCATTGGTTGCATACAGGGTATTGTACAATAAGGATTCCATTTGCGGACGTCTTTCTCTTTCTCTCGAATGCCTGCCTCAATTATTTGAAGCTCTTGCGCCAGTCTTTCGCCCTCATTAAATGCCGCTCCTTGTGTTGCTAACTGTACATTTTAACTAATAAGTATCTATTTTTCTTGTTATGTATTAATAAAATGTATTTTCATATACTAAGATTACCTTCAGATCGTTTATTTTTTTCTCCAAATGCTTTAGCTGCTGTTTTACTTTTTGGGACTCTAGAATGAGACTGAAAAAATACAATTTATAATAATAAGCAATCAAATCATTAATTGTTATTTGATCTCACAAATCTATGTAATTAATTTTTGCAGAAAACTATTTAATTATAATATTTGATTTTATATGATATTAAAAATACAATGTAATTTCTAATCATGTTTAAATAACTTAACAAATTTTTACATTTAAAGGGTTATAATTATTTAGATCTGTGATATTGTAATATTGTCAATTATGAAAGATAAAAAATGTTAATTACTCCTTAGACATATTATCCTGTCGTGTTAACTGCACATGTGGTGGAGATTCAGAGATATTACATGGTCCCAAAGTTACATAAGTCTCACCAAAATTGGAATTTTGAACCGTTTGCAGTCCTGAATTTGTTCCAATTGTTGCATAAGCTAATATTAATTATTTTAAAAAATTTTTAAATATTAATAATGAAAGTTTAGAAAATTCTCATAATTAAAAAAAACTTACGCTGGCCATAACACCATGACCCCAGTGAATTTGTAGCAGTTATAGGACGAATTGTTTGAATTGATGGAGAAATTCCTTCATTATAAATTGAATTGGTTTGTGTTCCGTTTGCTGGTCTATGTAATGACTTTGATATCCGTGATATTGGTCCATATTTATTAGCTGAAGTTCCATCAAATGGTACAAATTCATCATCGAAAATAATTGAATCGGAGCGATGAAAATTATTGCCATAATTAAGATGAGGCGTTGGTGTTGTTTGTGAAACAGGCCTATTAGCCCATATCGAGTAAGGAATAGCATCTCCTTGAATTTCATAATTAATTTTCAATTGCTGTGATGTCATGGGCTTTCCCATAATGTTTTCTAACTGATTTATTATTTCCATTCTTCGTTGAAGTAACACAGCTAGAGTTTTAGCAACAGTTTTTTGTTTTTTATTATTTTGAAGACTATTCTGTCCACTGGGAACTATTTGAGGAGCATCCCAGACATGTAAATTTGCATTAAAATAGTCTATAGGATTTGAATGAACAATGTAATGAGGACACTGTATGTCAATATTTTTTTCAGACACTTGAGAACAAGTTTGTGGATTTGGAAGAACAAAACTATTCATATTACTTGTAAAATTATTCTCATTATTAATCACTGGATGTGGTAAACACTTAATGGTTCTTAAAGTGTAAAATTTGTCTGAATGATTATCATTCATTTTAATTGAATAATTCAAATCGCCACACGATTTATAAGCTTTTGGTGGAAGATTTGATGAGATTCCAGACTTATCAGTTTTATGATCCGGGCTTCCAGTCAGAGGTAAACTCGATCTCATACTTAATTTTCGATGTTTTGATCTATATTTATCCAACTCTAAATCACTGTGGGCAAAAGTACAATTAGTTGCACGAGGACAAGAACCACGTAAAGCTAAATCTCGACACATACTAATTTTATATTTCAATTGCCCTGGACTAGCAGTATGAAGAGTCTCTTGAGGCTTTCTATTTCCATGCTTTTGAACATAATCAACAAGTGCTGTGATAACTGTTTTGACAGCTTCTAATGCTGCACGAGTGGTTGTCCAACTTGGATATTCTGTTTCTGGACTGGGATCAATGCCTGCTAATAATTCTAGCTGTGGCCTTAAACTACTTAATTGACCTGGATCAGGTGTCCGTTGAAGTGCAATCACGAGCTCTTGGACACTTTGAGCAAATGATTGTGGAGTTTGTAATTTATCAATGATACTTTGCATATGTGATTTATGACCAGAGTCTCCATATAGTAAAGCAGACCATTGATCTGGTGCAATTCTAAGACCAGCTTCAGTCGCAATTTGAACAATTTGAGCATCATGCTCACGTCTAAGTGCCTCATAAGTTCGAAATTCTTCTTTCAATTGCATGAGAGATGAATCTCCCTCTCTTTTCGATACTTTGAAGCAACTAGCACGGTATAAAAGTTGAACAACATGTCCAATACTTGTTTTAGAGGCTTGTGGAAAATGTGGTTCTAATCTTTGAACAACAAACATCACTAACACTTTTCTTGATAGAGCAGATCCGTCTTCAAGTGCTAATAACACTAATTTTAACACTTCTTCTTGCATACCAGGTCCAAGAAATTGACATCCTCGAGCTCTTACAGCTGCCCATAAGTTGGCACTTAGTTGCTGAGGATTTTGATGTTGAAGAATTAATTCTGTGACTGATCGCTCTCCTAAGCTTCTTGCTGCTCTGACTGCTCGAGCTCTTCCTTCTGGTTCTACTAATTGACAGCCAATTAGAGTTACTAGTTTTCTTTGCATAGGACGAGACACAAGTCCCATTCCTGCTCCATTTATAGGTGATGATTGGCATGGTTTCAGATACAATGCCAATACTTCGATACATCTTTTTGCAATTAAATAATCCGCATGATGTTCAGGTGGTAGGAGTTTTGTATAAGCATAACTTTCATTCTTAGGAACTGAATTATTCACTAACTGTAATAATGCTTCATTTATAGGTAACCTATCTACCTCTGTATTGATGGAATTCTGTAGAAATATTTTAATAAACAGTAAAAAAAATTATTATGGTAAGAAATATGATATATTAAAATATCATTTTTTACCTGATCGAATGGACATTGTTTACGATGTAAATTAGATAAACAAGTACGACAGATTGTATGACCACATCCTAAAGAAATAGGTCCACGAAGCGTTGAATCAAAGTCGTGACAGCAAACAGGACAAGAAAGAAATTCAGTCCACTGTGGTGCCTGTATTGGCATTCTAGAATCAATTATATGAATAATTGATTTAAGAAAACTACATAGTTATCTTACTAAATAGTTTTTTTATTTCTGCCTTTCTTTTACTATAATTAAAATAATCAAGTCTTGTGCGACGTAGAAAAGTTCTAGATTGAAATTGAATACTCGTTTCTACGTATCAAAAAATTAATGACGTTCATATTTACGTTTAGATTAAATTCTACAAACAAAACATGACACAGTGGTAAATTAAATTAAATAAAAAATATTTAAAAGATTTTAAGTCATTCTACGTAAATTGTATTGTTAAAGATGACAACTCAAAGATTGCAACGTTGAATGGACGACAATATTGAAATTATATTACAATATAATCATAAATATAAAATAAATGGCTCCCTAACCTTGAAAACACTTTTACAAATCATCACAGTTTTAAATAAATAATTACACAATTTTTTAGAACTTGTTCAATTACAAAATTGTCAAGATATGGTGTTGATTAACAAAATTATACACGAAAGTTATGATAGGTTCTGAGTTTCTTTTACGCAGAAACACATTGACCTATGTAGCTGCGTCAGATAACGTTATAAATTGATTTTGTTTTACGTCTCTAGATGTCACTATGACCTTTATTTTTCAAGTAACATTCTAGCTAAAACGTTAATTTAATGAAAATGGAGCAAATTTCTTTACTAAAACTGAATCTTTTGAGAAATTAATGTATTTAATTTTTTCGTATTAAACGATGTTTAGTCATTAATAAAAACTATTTTGTAAATATCATTTACGAAAGACACTAAATAGCCAGAGATCGAGAAAGAGAAAGAGAAAAGAAAAAGATCATGTAAAAGGGTAAGAAATATTAAATGTTTTACATATATTTTAAGTTGTTTGAAAGAACAATTTAAATGATAATAATATTTTTAAAACAATTATTGCTTTCATTAAATTATTGAAAACCAATTGAATTTCTTAGTTGTAATAATTACACTAGAGGTCTCCAAGTTTCTTGATTTTTACTACATTAGAACTTCTGTGTACATGTAGCAGATTTGAATATACGTCATATAGTTATATATTTGAGCAAACAGCCACTTGCTGAACTACTAGACTTTTCCCGCAAAAAAACGGCATCAAAATATCTTGAGCGGGAATATTTATTCATCTTTTATTGGTTAGAAGTCTGGTTAAAGTCGTTATTCAGACAATCGCACGAAATTTCTAGTGTTTTAACAATTCTCTGTCTGAAACCTCATGTATTTTCGGATATTAAATTTATATCAATAATATAATTTATTAAAATTTATTAGAGCACAAAATTTCACTTTATTCATATTATTTTTTTACAATTAAAACCGTTCCGATATAAAGCATCGACACAGTCTGGTATAAGTTAAACATGGCCGAGTCATCAACAACTGTTGAAAATTGTGAAGAGGAAAACTCTGTAACAATGTTAGATGTATTGCAAGATCAAAATCAACTTGAAGAAGATGCCAATGCAGTTTTAGGAGCATCTGATGATAAAAATTGCACATACATAAAGGTACGATGAGCTACTATAACTTCATGTTCTCCATCTTTTTACATTTGAATCATTTAATCTCATCAATGTTTCTAATGTATTTTTATTATAATTAATATTAATATAACTATTTATTCTCTCAGGGATACATTAGACAAGCTCTTTATGCCTGTAAGACTTGTTCATCTAACAAAGACCAAGCAGGTATCTGCCTTGCTTGTAGTTTATATTGCCATGAAGGTCATGAACTGATTGAACTTTACACTAAAAGACATTTCAGATGTGATTGTGGAAATTCAAAATTTCAAGGAAAAACATGTACTTTAGATGTCGTACGTATTTAATATTAATTATTTTATCTTATGTAAAGTAAACTTATTTTATTTTGCTGATTGAACTTAGAAGATAACTTATTTAACTTAATTCGAATGATAACTAATTTGTATTTTGTTTTAGTGTAAAGCAGATATTAACGAAGGAAACAAATACAACCAGAATTTTAACGGAGTTTACTGTACCTGTTCAAGGCCATATCCAGACCCAGAAGATACTACAGGAGATGAGATGATCCAGTGTGTTATTTGTGAAGATTGGTATCATTCTAAGCATTTAAATTGTGATGGTATTCCAGATGACAATTCCTATGAAGAAATGATTTGTATGATTTGCATGGATAAACATGAATTTCTTTGGAATTATGGTGCTCATCATTCTGTGAATACAAATATTAAAAAAGATTCCACAGCAAGTCCTGAGAAAATAGATGTTAGTAGCCAACCATCAAAATGTACTAAACCAGAAAAACCTTCTGAACAATATACTGGTTCTTGTTTCTGGTCCGAAGGGTGGAGATCATTGCTTTGTACTTGTGATAACTGTAAAAAAATGTATGAAGAACAACAGGTTTCATTTTTGCTTGACCCAACTGATAGCGTGCAAGCTTATGAAGAAGCTGGAAAATTACAAAGCTCAGAATCTCAGTACGAAAAAGGAATGAAGGCACTTGCTTCTCTTAATCACGTTCAACAAGTAAATGCTATTGAAGAATATAATAATATGAAAGAAAGATTGAAAGAATATCTTCAAAAGTTTGCAGAAAATAAAAAAGTCGTTCGTGAGGAAGATATTAAAGAGTTTTTCTCTGGAATGGAATCTAACAAAAAATCTAAAGTCATAGTTCCCACCTTTTGTCGTTAAATACAGCAATATTACTATTTTTGTAGACTTAACTTTATTTCTTTTCACTCATAATATTTAAATAATCAATAAAATAATGCCAATTATTATAATATTGTATAAAATACTAAACATAAACAAATCATCAATAAATATCTCATGATAATTAAAATTTGTTATTCATTTATTCAAGATTTTTTTTTGCACTAGCTTATGATAATTTATGTTACATATAATTTATTTATATTATTATTTCTGAAAATTTTTATTATTTTATATCAGTACATAATCAAGTCTTTAGTTATTGTGACTCGGTACGTATTGGTATGACAACAAGTGGTTCATTATATTTTGGTTTATCAGTATAAATTGACCATGTTCTTTTGACACAATCAAATATTCCTGTTGCTATTGTTTTTACGTAATCATCATCTCCAAATTCTTGATAAACTCTAAATTCTTTACCAGTTTGATCACTAAGAATGTCTATAACTTCTCGACGTGTTCGTGGTTTTGGATGCTCTAAAATAGCTGCCATTCTGTGCTCGCTGCTTGGAATAATAACGTCGTTCACTTCGGGTATTTTTAATCGTAGATATCTGCAATCATACAATAAGCAATTGAATGAACTTATTCTCGTTGATAAAACAAAAACATAGATACTGTCAATATAATGAACAATAATCGAGTTTACTTATTGCAATGAAAAATGTTTTCTCCAGGACTAGCAGTAAGAATACTTAATGAAGATTCATCTGAGTTTTCTTCAACTGGACCAACTTCAGCATTATGGAACATTCTGTCTCCTTCTTGCTCTAAAAAGGTCATATTTACAGAAAAACCTTCAGCAGAACCATATCCTTTGTTTCTCAATGTTTGTTGAGCTTCAACGAAGTTTACGACCCCAAGGAGTGCTCGAGTTAAGAAATATCGTGCTAAAAACATTTTAATATTATTTTAAAAATCGAAAAAATTATCGTTATTTTTATTATATATTTTACTAATTATTAAAATTTTTATGATTGTATTTAATAAATTTAATTTTAAAAAATTTAACTTCATATCAATATCGATATTCAGTCTAAATCTTTTCTTTTATTTTTTAACTGAAATTACTCCAATATAATCAATTAAGTAAAAATAATTCAATTTTCCGTAGTTTTTAGTTATTACAACTGAAGGATAGAAAGGTTTTTCTTACGTGTCTTTCCAGATCTGAGTGTTTTAGCACTTAAGGTATTAATACTATATACTAATCCATGAGAATTATAACCCATTGTATATCCAGGAAGAAATCCTGCGTAAGAAAGGGAAGAAAATTTTTCCTCCCTATAGCCAGGTTCAATGACATGTGCACAAACAATATACCAATAATTCAATGTTTCACTTAATGCATCTTCATTATGACCAAGGATTTCCTATTATTATAATAATGAATAAATATAATAATTCGAATAAAAAAGGAATTATAATATTAATCATTAAATGATTACTCATATTCAAGATGTCAAAAAAGAATTATACCTGTCCAGGATAATTACAAATAATAGATGAACAGCCAACAGGTTGTTTTGTACTAGCGCTTCTGCCGTTCGCTACATTTGGAACAATATCATCAAGATGCATGAGAAACAACTGCAATAAAAATAAATTCATTGTCACACTTGATAGGCAACAACCACTAAGAAGGTCAGAGAGAGATAAATAATTAGATGCAATGAAAGGACTTAAGTCCACACAAGGCTTGACTAAGATATATAATTCTTTATCTCTTGAATTGTTACGTCGGTGGACTAAAATTTTATATTACGAAAAATAATACAACATGATCTTTTTACCGGTTCAATTATAAAGGTAAATCAATGATTTACATGTTACAACTTCATTTTTTTTAGAATATTTATTAATTACTTATCTGAAGATATTTTAAAAATCTTATGGATTTATTATTATGGAAAATCTTTGAAATTTATTGCTCTGTTCGTTCAAACCTGATTTTGAAATTATTTTATTGATCTCGAATTTAGGAAAAACATTATGTTGATGTCTAAATAATATCATTATTATTAAGATTATAATTATTAACTTCCAATATCTTTTATTCGTTCCATTGAATTCTTATACATTGAAGAAGTTGCTAATGTTCAACAATTACATCTTCAGACCTTTAAGTTGATTTTTACTATCAATTAATGCTATATTTAATGACGGAATTCTCATAAAAAATTACGATATAAAATTTATTCAAGTTAAATCCATGTTGTAATAATAATATATTAAATTTTTATGAAATGTTAAAAAGTTAATTTATTCATGAAAAATAATCTATTAATTCTCAATGAAAAGGCAGATGTCAATGACTTATCTTCTAACTATTAATTATGTTTATTTAATGATAATATTAGCAGATTTTGTAAAACAAATTCTAATCTAAATTTATGTACCAACTATATCATTAGTTGATCAAATATTTAACTCAACATTTACAATTTTAAAAAAAGAAAAAAAACCTTATAAAATGGTACACCGGCACCATCAGCCGTTCCTTCAATTTCCCTTAGGTACTGTGGATATTGCGCTTTAACACAAGCTAAAGTTTCTTCATAAACCTTTCGTCCTTCTTCTGTATTATAAACATTCAAGTAAACTTCGTTTAATGGCTTATAGTAGTCCACAAACTCGCTGATCATTTTTGCAAATTTGCGACCCTGCAATGATAACATAAACAATAATTTCATAAAAATAACAACACAATGGAACAAATGGTCAATATTATTTTTAATTTCTTATGAATTCAAAATTTTTTTGGAATGCTCACTTCTTATTGTGTTTATCAATGACAATGATTTTAAGTTAAACTAAATAATGTACGAAAAAATATTTCTTCATCGCTATCTATGTATAATAAATCATTCTACGCGTATTACCTAGTTCTGCAAGCATCGTAGACCACACGATTGCTCCATTTCACTTGTCTATGTAAGATTTCGTAACCTAAGCTGATTATTCGATAGAAGGAAAATTAGAACTAAAAATTATTGCCAATGAAACCGATATTTTATCAGCTTTATTTATGCTGTATCTTAATTATATTTTAATTTGTTTGAGTTTTGTGAAATAAGAGTGGATTAAACTAGTAATTTGAATCTATTAATACAAAAGTTATGACCATTACTTTTTTGTTTGACAGATAGATACAAAAGATTTGTGTATTCAAATTTTAAAAAAACTCATTTAATCTTTTATCTAAGTAAATGTCTATCTAAAGTTGTTTAAAATATCAATTATTCATTATAAAAATTTATTTTTTTATTATATATAAGAGAGGAATTAAGCGGAAAATATGATTGTTTTTACACGTTTTATTTTTAACTATTTATAAGAAATCATCAAAAAAATACAATAATAGTTGAATAGAAACAGAAAAATATTCATTTACGTTTTAAACGATAAAATAAATCAATAAATAAGTCTAAAAAATGTTAACAAAAAATTTCCTATGTACTAATGATGAAATATAATTCGTTTAGTTGATTATTCACTATGTTACATTACTTCAAACTTAGAATATTTAGCATTTTACATGTTAATGTATTAAAAATTATTTATAAATATTTATGATATGAAAATTGCTTTTATGACACTTTGGAAGATTGAATGACTGTTGAATAATGATTAATATATGGTATATATTTTTTTCCACTGTGATTAAGTCGATAGTAATTTTTTTTTTAATTGTAGAGGTTGAAATAACCATAAGAATAGTATGTGAATTTTATAAAAATAAAATAAAACAACAAAAAAATACGAATTTCAACTGTTAAAGATACGTACTTTATAATACAGTATTTTGAAATAAAATATCACTATACTCCAAAAAAAACTCAATAACAAAAATATGATCATCTTTAATTTTTTTTAAATAATGAAATTTTTTTTTGAACAATTTCTCTCTTTAAACTAAACAATTTAATATTATGTTTGATAAATACTTAATCTTAACATTGATACTCAAATGTTTTTCAATAAAAATGCATTACTTACAATGTCAAATCCAATCTCATAATGCGTGCCTCTTGTGTAAATCATGGGAACGGCATTTCTTCTTTTTTTGATATATTCGCAACCATTTGTAGTTTCAATAATTGTCGACATTTTTTCTTTTCACTTTTAAATACCATAAAAATGATCCACCTTGTTGAAAGGAATAATAAGGCGCTTCTACCTCCAGTTAAGTGACTAAAACTTGGTGTTCTTATTTCAACTGATAAATTTACAATTACTTTGATAAATAATTGAATAAATACAGTTTCGATGAGATAACGTAGCCTCGATTTTAAAAGATGATAAATATTATGAAGAAATGTATGTAAATTAATGAATTATACTTGTTGACAATTAATTTTCGAATTCTTTTTTATTAATAAATATTGATACTACAGGTTTTATGATAAAGAGTTTCAATCCATATATCGAATAGAAGAAATGTCTAATGATTTCAAAGTCCAAAGTAAGACTGAGATCCCAAAGCGTTGGGACTGTTCGCGTAAATGAACGGAGGACACTAATCTGTCTTAGCTCTTATCGAGTTACTCCCGCAGGTAGTTTTGTAGCCATCGACATGGCTTCATTATAAAAATTCTACTATTGTTATAATAACGTTCTTGTTAACATTATTATAGCCTTGAGAATCTAAAACTCATTAAGCTGTTGGATTTTGTTGATACTTCGTTACTTATAATGCATATCGTATAATTACATCTCATCTTTATCATTTCAACTATTATACGACTGTGATTGCGTAATTATTATGCATTTGAATTGTTAATTTTTTAGTCTATATATATAGACTATATATATATAGTGAATCGGGATTATGAGTAAGAATTAATTACTTGAATAATAAAGTAAAATCAATCTGAAAAAAATTACAACGATTAGATGGCTGGGAAAAATCGTCTGATTAAGTACTGGCTATACTACTTTGATACGGAATTTCATGTACTAATGATGAAGCAGCAATTATTTTGATACTACTGAACATATATAAAAATCAATTGCATCATTAATTACAATCATTAATTGGACTAGTTATTTAATAAATATTTTTCGATAAAGATCATCAGTTATTTCTTGAAAGTCATTAGTAAGACTTGATAAGTAATTACAAGAATTAATGAAAAATACGCTGAATATTATTCAAAAAAAAAAATCTCTGAATGATATAAGGTCGTTAGAAATATTTTATTGTAATAATACAACAAAATTCTCTAACTGAAAATTGAAAAATAATAACCATGAATGTTGGAGAAAATATAAGAATTTATGATAACAATTATCATAGTTGAATAGATAGGGTTGATCAATTATTGTTATTGAACAATGAATGTTCATTCACAGTACAACGTACTCATGTACAATATCATAAATATAATTATAAAAGATTAACTGATCATAGATTCATTTTGTAATTATATACAGGTCTGCCATAGTAAAACATGAACTTGATGCAATCAACATATGATACACCTCTGCGTGACAATTTACAATGGCATTGCCATGCTTTTCGATGTCGTAAATTAAGAATTGACAAAATGAAAAAAATGTTTTTTATAGCTAGATCTCGTTAATCTCTGAATTACGGTCCAAAGACAGTTACTTAAAAATTGCAAAAGTCTTTGCAATGTCGTGAATAATTATAATGTATGGAAATAAGTGAGTAGTTATATCATGTTTTTTATTGAAATTATTAAGTCACTTGGATAAATAGTAAGGCTTCAAGAACTATTTAATTCTAGGGAACTAAACGAATTGAGATAGTTTTGTATGGTTTCATAAAAGTAGTTCAAGTGCAGTGTGCTTTAATAATACTTCAATCTTTTGGTACAAATATTTTATTGATTTCAATATTTAATATTGTTTTTAATCCATAAATATAAACAAGATTATTACAAATTATTTTATGTGTAAAGTACATAATTTTCAGATAATCATATTATATGATTTAGATAAATATTTACAAAGTTCTTCAATTTTAATTATTAGATTATATAGGAGCTGTTAAACAAATTTCATGTTGGTTATAATACACACAAGTTAAACTTTCATTATTACGTAAAATTACTATTTGCAGTAGTTACAACTATTATTGATTTTTATTAGTTGTAATAATGGTTGAGAATTTTAATATCATCAAAGAATAATTTTCGATTAATTTTTTTTCATAACTATTTACAAGTGTAACTTCCCTCAATTTCGTTAGGATATTAGAATTTCAACCTGTTCTACGCGTTTTATTTTGGAACAAGCTGACGAAATTTGTAGCACTAAAACTGAGATGGAGTCTCTTTTCTAAATAATTATCTTATTTTTAAAAAAATATCATCTAAACCCTCAATTTTCGTCATCTTCGTAATTGAGAGTAAATTTTCTAGCATCTGATGAATATGGTTCAGGATAATAACGCCAACAACCTACTATTCCATCCCACTAAAAATTCAAACAAATAAATTAATATATAGTATCATAATGAATTTTTCATTTTAGAAAAACATAGTAAAAGGGAATGTTTCTGATTACCGAAGTTGAAATTATTTCTTGATCATATGGATGCCAATGCACGTCTCTAACACAACCATCATGACCTTCTAATGTCTTAACAATTTTTCCAGTCAACAGATCGTAAACTAAAAGGAGAAATGATTATATCAACATTCCAAGTTATTTAAATGATACTATATCATTTTTGTAGTGAAGAAAATATTATGATTATTGACTTCGAAAAAAAATATACTTTTATATACTTTTAATGATTATAATTGAATTAAAATAAGAAAGATTTTTCCTTCACAATACTCACTGACTATTCGTCCATCTCCACATCCAGTATAAATATATCTTTGTCCAGTTGACGCAACAGGTGAGAAATGACAACGAATTAAAGTTTGTATCACAACATGTCCTCGATATGTCATGACACTGGTATCTCCTTCCAGAATTTCAGTTGATTTAAATCCTATTCTCAAACAATAATAAATAATCAAACATCATGACTCTTGGAAATAATTGATTATTAGGTGAATAAATATGATAATAAAGTGTGAATAAATAATTACGCTGTTTAGGAACATGCGTATGCCATCGATAATCCCAATCTTGATTCACAACAGCAACACGTGTATTCATTTGAGCTTTTTTGCTTGAAAATTTACGAACGTCCCATAATTTTATTGATTGATCCTTGCTATTTGTGAGAAGATAACGACCATCACCTCGTGGATCAATGTATGTTATTCCACCCATGTGACCAGCTAAGACACCCACTGGTTTTGGACGTGATTCTTTTAAAGTTCTTCTGTCCCAAACCTAAGAAAAATATACTAAAATCAGAAACAATAATTTAGATTCATCAAAACTTGATGAAAAAGTAGAATTAACATAAAAAATACATTCAAATATTATTTAGAATTTGTTTTACCATACAGAGTCCATCGTCGCCAGCGCTATATAAAATTTGTGATGAATTATCGGCAATTACTACCGCGTTAACATCACCTGTATGTCCTTTAATCTAACAAATAGCATTATATTTAAAAAATAATTTTTTTTCTCATATGCAACGAAAAAGAATTAAACTCACTTTTGTTGTCAACTTATGGCATTCCAAGTCGTAAACATACAAACATCCGTCATTAGCAGCTCCAACGATCTCGTTTCCATTATTAGAAAAAGCAATAGAAAATACACAAAACCTTCCGGAGTGAAACGGAACTAATTGAAGAGGTACTTGAAAGCTAGAATCACCGTAGATTGGACAAAGATGAACTAAAGAAAAAACATCATTTATTTTCTTTTCAACTTGAATTTCAAAATAAATTTTCCATTAAAATGAGTTATCTCAACTTTATACATTGTGTAAATTTTAATTTTGATGTATATAAAAATAATCTTAAGCATTTATTTAATTTGAGTATTTGGAAAATTTTAATTTTCCATATTTACCAGCATTAGACCAACAAGAATATGCAATATAGTTCCCATCTGGACTGAAGGCTAAATCTAATATACTCCAAGAAACATTTGGGACAAAGATTGTTTTGAATTTTTGAAATTCACCGCTTCCAGTACTATATAAATGTATATTATTATCTAAAAAAAGGTACTTGTTATAATTGAATTTACCTTTAAATAGTCTAAATCATCTACCTTGCGTTGTCGTGACCAACATTTTTCCATCACTGGAATAGATCCCACAAAATGCTTTGCTATTATATTCAGCAACTTTTGTCATACTATTTGGGAGGAAAGCATTACTGATTCTACATTTTTCACCGGTAGTAAAAGTTGAACTAACTTGACGCCTATAAATCATACTTGGAACAGAAATATTTGTCTTATTTTCAGGATCTGTATATCCTGATTCTTTCCTTGTTGTCAAATAAAGTTCATTATTCTGAAAAAATCGTAATAAAGATTGTTTTTTTTTAATATGAATATTCAATATTGAATATCTAATGAACTAACAATTCAAATTTAATCTTTTTTATATTTATTATTAAAAAATTTTTTATTGCCAATATTATAAACTTATAAAAGCAATTTAAATGACGCAGTACTTTATCAATCTTTCAATTTTTTATCATTTCATATCCAGCTTTTATAAATTTGATGTAATAGACAATAATAAATGAACAGTATTTAATATATTTTAGTTTTATTTCTTTTATATACTTCAAGCCTTTCTGTCTGTTTATGAAGTTCATCTGTCTTGTATACTTGATAGTCGTGACAAGTAGATGATGATGAAGCATGGTCATCTTGTGAGTTAGCATTGACATCAGAATTAATCAACCGGCTTCTATAAAACATAAATCGTTATAATACTATACAATACAAAAACAAAATACAAATCGTTCTAAAAATGTGTAAGAAATAAACTGGATAATGTTTAGATACTTTTACCAAAAAAATTTTTTCAAAAGTGTTAATTTACAAAATTCCCTAGTAATCTCTGAAATTTTTTTCAACAACATGTCATTAATTCGTATAATCTATTTATAATTCGTCTAAAGTTCATTAATTTTTTAGAAATAAACTTTTAATATGGTTCAAAGTATTCAGCATAAATTAAGGACCCTTTAATAAAAGTTTATAATCAACAAGTATACAAATAAAACAAACCTCATCAATAAATGAAGAGTCCTGGCGAAACTTGTTTCTGTGTATGCTTGATCCATATTAAATGACTAGCAAAATGTTATCAATATCACTCACACCCAACATCATGTGTCACTTTTCTTCATGTCATTATTATTATTGTTGTTATTATTATGCTTAGATGTTCCTACTAGGATCAAGGTCCATGGATGAGGAGGGGGTAAAAAGGTCTTCGCACCCGTATCTCACGTTTTATCCTCAAAATGGTTACTCGGTCCGTTTGCTATTCCAGTTGACTAGAATTGGTGACTCTACGGTATGATAAAAGCACTATTATGGACAAAATTCATACTAATGCAAACGATAGCAAACGACCGTCAGTTGGCTAAATAGAGTCCATTAAAAATGATTCACATTTTGCAAGAATCAGTAAATTTCAATTATTTTGTAATTACTAAGCATTAAAGTAGTTATCCCGCGAGAACAATTACTTACAATTGTTTTTAAACCGCATCATTTTTATAGAATAATAAAAAATGAACATTTTTTTCCTCTGAAGTAAAAAAGAACTGCTGTTTAGAAATGAAGATATTTGCAATTAAAGATTACGATTTTACCATGCAATTTAATGATAGAAGGTAACTCGTACTTTTTTAATAAATATTTTAAAAAAAAGTGTAGCATAAATCATATTAAATTCTAATGAAGCAACTGTAAAGAACACGAAGCATGTTCGACAATGGATAACCTGACTTGTAAGTTCTAGCATTGAGTCTCCTATAATCGATACAGAGTTTCCAACTACCATCTTTCTTCTTTACTAGCAAAAGCTTACTACTCTAAATGCTATCACACCAGACAATGTAGCCTTTCTGAGCCAATTCATCAACTAGATTTTGTAGAACTTTGATCATTACTTCACTTCTTTTTAATGGTTTCGGACGATAAGGTTCGTCATCAGACCTAATATGTATTTTATGCTTAACAAGCTTACATAATCCCTTGACTCACCACCCTTAGTATTTTCAATTTCTTTATTTATCTCAGCTGCTACCTGATAAGGATCAAGCCTACTGAAACCTTCTTTATCACCAGTTATTTGAAGTTTTTCAACATAGACTTTATCTGACTTTATTCGAACTACATAATAAAGCCCTACTGGCTCAGGTGAAAGAGAGCCATGATGAACTGACATGCCTTTCAATTGAGTTATTGAACCCTTATCTTTAGGAAAATAGGTTTTAATGATTTTATTTGGAGCACAGTACTTCTCTACAAATGGAGCTACAACATCATTGTCCAATGACCAAGTGTCTTTTCCAAAGTTCATGATCATTTTAGCTTTACGACAAAAATCCATACCTATAGTACAGCATCATCACTTAATTGTTCAACTGCATAAATCCAAAGTGGAATGAGTTCATCACCAATTCTGAGTTCAAAAATAGCACCATAATGAAATGGAACTAACTCACTACTTGCCGTGACTATACTACCATTCATTTCTGGCCATAATTTTGAATATTTAACTATTTACTTAAACAATTCCAATCTCATAAAGCTTTTCTGTGCGCCTGTATCTAACAACGCAAATATGCATTTATTTCCTGTTGTGAGAGAACATTCAGCTTTGAATAATCTCGTCTCTTGTAGAATAGATTCAGCGCTTTTTATTACATTAATATTATCCTTCAAAAGAACTTTATTTTTATTTATTAGTTTTGTACATTAATTTATTATTGCAATTAAACACGCATCTGTACACCGCTTCCCTCCCCCAGATAGAACACGGCGTGGAGTGACTAAACTTGACTTCGGCTTGCAGCGTCGTCGCGCATGCGACTTCCAATCGACTTGATAGAGAACGGAGGAACAGAAAGTGAAAGGGCATTTATCTGTTGCTCATCCCCACTCGAGTCTAGGTCAAATTCAAGCGTACTTTATATCGATTGACACATATTAGTTATTGTGGGTCGAGATTTTGTAACGACTAAAATTTCCTTAAGGCGAAACCTCAAGAAAATTCCCGCCCCAATTTAAAAATTATCGAATTTTATGGCCCAGGATTCTATGGCGGATTTGTTACAAAGTAAATTCTCTAAATACAAATTAAAATCCAATTCCAACTTTATTATATAACTAATTTACAATATATATTTATTCTATTTGAGATTTCCAATTGTACAACTTTACAAATACTCTTTAACTTAAATGCCTTTATACTCGACAGAGAGAGTTGATATAAAATCCTACGCCAAAAATGTCTACCCCTAAACCTAACCTCTAATTGGTCGGGATACAACCCAACCCGGGATACTCTGAGAGCTAACGACTTTTAGAGGGAAGGCTACAACCTTACCTAGGTAATCGACGAGCTCCAACTCGTCGACGAAGAGCTACAACTCTTCTAGGGATATGGGTGCGAGCTACGACTCTTCACTCTCTAACCTAAGAGACCTATCCAAGTGTGGACGAGCTACAACTCGTCCTGGGATACTCTAAAAGCTAACAACTCTCAGAGGGAAGGCTTCAACCTTGCCTAAATAACTGACGAGCTACAACTCCTACACGGTCGAAATCGTGAGCACCAACTCTCGATTGCTATCTAACACCAAGAGCACCAACTCTTGGCCGGAAGGCTACAACCCTCCAGGTCCTACTTTTGGAAAGCTACAACTCTCCGGGGAACTAAAAGGCTACAACCTCTTAGCCAGAGCTACAACTCTGTATTTTACAACGTGAGCTACAACTCTCGTTGGTCTCGTCAGTCTAGTACCTCAGAAACAAGTGAAGTGACGATCTCCGCAAAATCCAGCTCTTTTATACTATTTGACTCCGCCCACTTTGCTATCCCCCACCACTATTGTGGTGAGTTGCGTGGGGAAGTCGTCATGGCAAACAAAATCATCACAATATCTCTTTCTCTCTCTCAGATCTACTATGTTTCTTATGACCCTCTCTCTCTCTCTCTAATACATGGTTTTAATAGGCTTTGCCGATAATTTAAATTTCGCGCTACTCTACATGGGTCGATGAAACAATTTTACTGATTATTGATGTATTAGACCAATTAATTTCCTATAATATCGGCCTAAAAATGTAACTTCGTTACAATTTATTGTTGATTTCTTGTAAGATTTTTTCAACTATTGTCTTTATTTTACTCTGATCCATACTATTAATTACACCTTCATTTAGTTTGTCCAATAATACATTATTTTTTGTCATACCCCTACGTAACCTTCGATTTTACTCCTTGTTCAGAGGCAGTAAAGCTCGAGGTTTCTTCCTTGCATGAAATGACAAAATTTGGTCGCGTCTATTTAGCTAAGGTTTCTATATAATAATCTACGTCGAAAGTGATGAACCAAGTCTTTGGCTCGGGACAAAATTTTTCTCGCGGAAGAAATACTGTATTTTACTCCGTTGATATGGAAGATACTATTATTAGTTGATTCAATAATTTTCTGTATTGGCTGATGCAACAATTTTGAATCCGATCTTATTTCATTTGGTTCCAACAAGTAATCATCAATAAACTCATCGTGGCTAGCATTATCCTCGTTAACTTCATTCGCCAAATTTAAGATTTCGTTGTTGATGTGATCTATAATTTTGTCTTCAGTACTATCTCCTGCTTGCTTTGTGTGTACCGACTTCACAGCAGGGTTTTGACGCGTTTTTTGACTACTTACAAAGAACAATCGTTTCCTGAATGACCTGACTTACTACACTTATAACGAATACTTTATTAACGAATAAAGGCATTAAATAATCTATCTTGTTTAAAATTATTTATTTTTATATATTTTTCTAATTAAATTTCTAAATTGCTTTTATTTGAGTGATTTTTTTTTTGTGTCCGGCCAGGGTTGCTAGGGCTCCGAGTCACTTAGGGCCTGACCAGACGGGTTTATCCTGCAGACACCCGACTCCCTCAGGTTTGAGGGTAAGCCGGGGCTGCAGCCGTTCGGTCATTGTTGACAGTCGTCTAAGAATTTGGAGAGAACTAAGGATAACCGCTTTCTGTATACGAGCCGCGAGAATCTCAAATTAATACACGTATTTAGTATTATGGTCGAAGGAAGTAATATCCGGCTTATTGTGTTCAATGTGTTGAGGCGTAGAGAGCAGGAAATTTCAAAGAATTTTTGCTCTCCCGTTCTCAACAACTGACTCAATTTTACCAGGAGCATAGGACAGCACTGGTGTCTCGTCTATACTATAAGAGTGCCGAAGGTGGTAATACACCCCTTTTAAGGCGGCGTTATGCCGGTGGATGTAGGCTGAGTGCGCTAATATCTACGGAAGTCCGAAATGGCCATCGTATTTTATACTATAGATGTCACTATCTGAAACGTTTCATCATACATAGTATGTTGTTATTTTCTACTCCAATCAACATACATATTATGCTGTTTTCTATTCAAATAACGCGGGAAGCTGGTATCACGTCATATTTATTCACAAACGTCTTGAGGTATTTAGTGGCAATTTTCCAGTCTAACGTTAAATTTAAATTTGTATTCATATAATATTTTAAATACTACATACTTAATAAACCTCTAATTACATTCAATCGTTGGTAGTTTTTCTAACTATTGCAAACCAGCGTAGCCGGTTTAACAACATAGTTTTTAGAATCCTTCATATTGGCTGGTTACATGAAACATCAAACGGAAAATATAACCAAATGAAGAAACCGGTTGGCGGAGTCGGAGAACTCAAACGCAATCCTACTTTTGAATATTACGTTCAACAAATTATTGATTTGGCCAAGAAAGATGAAATAGAAAATTGTATGCTCTTTAAGTCATGCAATATTAAATAAAGATTTTTTGATCGAACTCCCATCGATAGATTCATGGTTGAAGATACCGAATGTAACCTATGGACTTATGCTCGAAATCGGAATTTACCATGTCAAATTAAATTTTATCTATTGACGTCTCTGAAAACAAAAAAAAATCAAGTTGGAGATGAGTTAACAATTCCTCCAATTGAAGAACAATATGCTTCACAAAATTCAAGTTCACATTCAGATGTCTTGCAAATTAAGAGCAAACGTAGTCAACCAGCTGTTTCATATGTTAAGAAAATTTTTTGCCTGTTTCGAAAAATGCAAGCTCAATTCAAAGCAAACACAGTCGATCAGTTTTTTCCAACATTCAATTAAATTTTTCAATTACTTCGAGGTATTTAAGCTCACGTTCAAATGTTTCACAAATTCAAATACAAAATGAAACTTTGCTCAAGACTTCTTCACTTACATCGTGTAATTCTTCATTTATTCCTGATAGTGAAAATTTAAACCAAGTCC